AAAATTTAGGTTCCACAAATCAACAAATATATAATTATTTAATTATATAAATTGTCATTGCTAAATGTGTTTGAAACAAAATTCTGTTTGAAAAAACGTTTTCGTGTCCAAATTGATAAATTCAAATTCGCATAAAATTGATGTTCAAAAAAATCGCAGAAAATTTAGGAAATGATTAAAAAATAATAATTGAAATTGAAAAATGAACAAACCTTGGATAAAATCGACGATTGTTTGATTGAAGCAAGAAAATACTGAAGAGCAGCGTTCATATTTTCTTTTGCGTGAATAGGTAAATGACTCTTTTTTTGCCAAAGTCACTCTAATTGTCAATATCTAATGCTTCGTCGTGTTGCGCGAAAAGTACGAGACGAATGAGAGAATATATCTATATATGTGTGTGTGTGTCAGTGTCAGTGAATGTGTGTGTGTGTGTGTGTATGTCAGTGTATCAGAGCTTCTATTGTTGTGCTCTTCGGTTAGCTTATTATTATTACTGATGAATTAACCGAATATGATGTGGAATCAGTGCGAGGTGCCGCCCTCGAATGCCCTCTCTCAAATGATAATTAGGCGCCAGCGGATTAATTGATAATTAGGTTGACGAGTTGATGAGAATATCCCTCAAGGTACAGGAAATTGCGAAGCTATTTTTGGACTTCTGCATAATTGATATAAGCTTTTCGAATAGCTCAGCACTTGCTCTAATTCAACCAAATTTTTTAATAATTATATTTTATGAATAGCGAAATACTTTTGACTTTTTATCTTTTTATTATAAACATGGATTTTTTCTTTAAAATTTTATGAAATTGTATTTGTGTGCCTATTGAATATAAATAATGAAGTGACAAAGGAAAAGTTATAATATTTAAGTACCATGAGAATTCCTCATTATTTGTCTGTGCAGTTCACAGTTCAATTTGGAAAACATAAAAAAAGTCCCTTGACACCGATAAGTGCATCGGAAATTAATCGAAATTGACAATAATAATAACAATAATAATAATACACAAAAAGCACACCGATTGAACCAATCGTTTCTAAAGTAATCTCATAGCAATAAAATTAGTTAGCAGAAGAAGGACAAAACTCGAGAAAACATGGTAAAACGAGAAGACTTGAGAGTCGATGTATGAGTACAAAAATTGTATTTGGATCGGATGAAAAAAGGATAAATGCAACCATATAATGATAGCAGACTGACGAAAACACGAGCGAAATTTTCTCACACCGTCCAACAAAAAACCATAATGCATGGGTAAATAGAGGCTCAAACCATATGAAGTTTCTAAATTTTGATACTAGCCTACGATTGGTTTGAAATGATCAAGGGAAAAAAATGAGGGTGGGCTTTATGATTTCAAGAATTATGAAAATAATACATGCAATGTTGAAAAATACATTTAGCAAATTCCGATAATTCCTTTTTTTCATCAATTTTAGCAATTTCGAATTTCTTTTGATCGAATTTCCTTGTATTTTTTCCCTTTTCGACCTACCTTTTATTATCAGCGTTTCCTTTGGTTGAGCAGTTGTCAAAAAAATCGTCGAATTGAATTGAAAACTACAAGTGCCTAGGAAGTGATAAGTATTGAATCTGCAAAAAATCGGCATTGGAAACGACGTACATTCGCACTCTTATATTTGCGCTCGCTCATTTTATTAAAGCGAATACAAGTAGAAGAAGAAGAAGGAGGAAATCGCGCGCGAGAAAGCGAATTGAACACATCAAAAATGGAAAACGGCAAAAAGTGCAAACAAATCACACGTATTCTCATATATACATATATATATATATATATATAGTCGACGTCCGGCGACTGCTGTACGCGGGTAGATTTACGCGCGTGCGCCTTGAAAAGGTCTCGCCACGCGTGAATTCTTATTTTGTTGTTTTCACGTGAACTGCTTCATTTTTCTTGATGATCTTCGTATTTTATTGAATTTCCAACGTCACTCGATTAAAAAAGCTGACCCATAAAATGCGAAATAACCTGTTAGTCCGTGCGAGACCAAGAGAAAGACGCATCCCCGTAAATCTACCCGCGTAAAACAGTCACCGGACGCCGATTATATATACATATCAATCATTAATCAATTTTAATTTTTCTTTTGTAAAAAATACATAATTGCGATGAAATTTAAGGATGCATAAAATGATGCTAATTTTCGGAAAAAATATTCTCGCAAAACGTAATTTGAATAAAACGAGAATGAGTAAGTGAGAGGGCGAATCAGCCTCGAAACTATGCACTCGCTTAAACGAATGCATGAAGTTTTTCGGATTAGGGAAAGCAAAAAAAAGGGGGACGAATTATTCTGTTTTTTACTAAATACTATCAATTTTTAATCTTTTTCATAAATATTGAAAACATATATAAGTATTGCTTCATTTTTTGCTCAATTCAATTTGAAAGTGCTCCAGAAAGTTTTGCTTTTTACAGTAAAAAAAATGGTGACTGAAAAATGGGAATTTTTTTAAGTTATGACCCCCATATTGAAATGAAAATCTTAAACAAATAATTTATATCGAGTTTTCTAAATAAGAAATTCAAACATTCTTTGGAGGTGTTTTTAGTTCACACATTCACAGAAATTTATATCAGATTACTCATTTGAGATTCCAAAATCGACTTTCCGCGTGGGAGTATTTTTTTTCAATTAATATTCGGAAATTAATAGACGAAAGAAAAAACATTAAAGATGAAATCATTTTTCAATCCATTGTTGGGGCGTGTGAAATGAATTATTCTCAATCAGAAATAGCACTCAAAACGTAATTTGTAGTTGAATGTCAAAAAGATATTCGAAGGGAAGTCGAATAATCTAAATATGCACATTTAATTTGCACTTTTACATTTTTGCTTTTCGGGTTAATGCGAAGTAAAAACTAGTAGGCGTAACAAAATTATAAAAATGAAGATAGTCATCGATAACGCGAAAGAGAATTATGAGTCAGCTTGGAAAAAGATTTGAAAAAAAGAACAGGAAATAGTGAAAAAGAATCGAATCGAAAACATGATTGATTCCATAAAAAATCGGTGTAGTAATCGCAATCATTTTCTAATTTTTTACAAGAAAATCAAGAACATCGGTAGTGTCTTAAAAGTAAATTGTGATTAAATTTGTCTAGTTATCAGTGACTCATTAAAAAAAAATCATAAATATGATTATTGTGAGAATGACTCATATATAAGCGCAGAAATATCAATTTTGCATTGACCGGGAAACAGAAAATTGTTGAATTTCGGCTACCGCTGTACGAATGTAGGTTTACGAGCATGCGCCTTTCGTTTTGGTCTCGTCCCGACGTATTTTGCTTTCTAATAATAGAAAATGAGGAATAAAAATTCAAAAATTCAAAAAAAAATTAGGACGTGGCAAGAGAATTTCAAAGACGCATCTTGTAAATGTAGCCGTGTATATCAATCGATGACTATAATTTAATTGAAACTAAATAATTTATTCAAAATCAAATAGAAAAAAGGCACATCTTTTCAAATAATCAAAAGAAAAACTAAATGAAACACTTTGATATACTCTATTTAAATTTGATTTTAAAACAAAGAATAGTAAACGGAAGTTGAAAAGTGTTATAAATGATAACTGATCGACAGAAAAACGGAACAATGAATTCCCAATTTGTTCTATACTTTTCTCTTGTTTTATTTGTTTTCTTATCACCATGCGCACGGAATACAAATATTTATAAAATAAATGTCAAGTTTCATGTTTATGCTTATTGGATTTTAAAAAATTTCTGAAACATCATTGAATTGAAAATTTTGGAAACAGGAAAAATGATAAATAAGGTTTGCTTTACTTCGATTGAATTACGGTTAAAAAAGATATGGTTGTTTGAAAATGCGAAAAATGGATATATGAATAATTTGGGAATTTGTTATAGATAAAAATGTAAGTTTAGCAGGATTCGGATTAATTCGAGGACGCTAAGCCGGAAATTTGAAACCTATAATTTCAATCAATAATAGATGAGTAAAAAATTTGATGAAGCATAATTTTCAATTGATTATGAGTTTATGATCACTTAATGATAACAAATTTTCCTTAAATCAGTAAAGGCTTAATTGAAAATTATAAAAATCGGATCAAAATTCAATGGCAAAATAAACATTTCGTTTCGAAAAAAATGAAGCGAAAGTGGTGTTTGTGAAACCAGAAGTGACGAAATTCGACAATCGCTGAGTCATGCGCTGTTCTCAGTGTATATTTCTCTGTGTTTCGCCCCAGGCGAGACGTGTCTCGTCGCGAGAGACTCCAGAAATGACGAAACATCGTGCCAATCGAGAGAATCGAAACCGGTCGCTTCGTGAATTGTGTTCATATTGTCGAGAGACCCAGTCTAGATCATGGTTATCACCTGAGGGCAATGTGAACGATTTTTGGCAATTGGTGACATCACTTTCCGGAATAAAATTACTGTATATACATTCAAATGGAGTTTTTTTTTTTAATAGATTGACGTTTAATTAGCCGAACTTACTGGTAAAAAACAAATTATAAAATCAACTTTTAAGAACAAATTATTCAAAAAAGTAATTTTGATTCATTGCGAATTTGAATTAAAAACTTTCGACTAAATACAATAACGTAATCTGGAAATAAAATGGGCTTCTTTGTAGTAAAACGGCTCAATATTGAGAAATTTCGTACTAACGAATATTTTACACATCGTAAGAACCTTCATGGATCGAACTAGAATATTTCCATATTTTCTAGCTTATTGAAATAATACAAATTCATGTCAACGTCATTGGAAAGAATGTACACTTTTGGATGTATGTATGAGCGACCGATTTGAGTGCGCATTGGCCGCAATGTGTCGTCGTTGTGAATGCACAACTCGAACGCGCCAAAATGCAAGATTTGAAAGGTATCGTGCGGGAAATTTGTGCGTTTACTGCGATATCATGTTACACTTCGTATCTCCTTAATTTCGTGTTTCTTTTTTATATTTTATAGTTTAATTGCAGAAAATGAACTCCGCTGACGGAATTTTTATCGATCGTGCGGAAGATGCTCGCAAACAAGAAATAACGCAGGAATATTTGAATTTTCTGGATAACCAAGTTTGAATATTCTGATAACGTCTCAAAGTTTATTTTATAATTTAGGCGGACACTAATCATTATAGGCAGAAGATTGTGAAAATGATGATGGATGGAGATAGCCGACTGATTGTGAACTTGGATGAAATCCGAGAAAAGATGCCCCAAAGAGCTGAAGGGTATTTTTAAAAATTTATTGAAATCGATTTTCAAAAAAAAAAAACTAATTTAAGGCTTTTGAAAGATTCAGTTTGCGAATTAAACTGTTTCCAATCCGCTTTAATGGAAGCGATTTCTCGGAGTGATGTCCAAGCAAACGTCAAAACGTAGTGTTGCTTGTAACATATTCTAATTAAGAAACTTCATTTCAGAGGATTTCATATCGGATTCGAAGGAACCTTCGGAGAAAGACACGTTAATGCTCGTTCTCTGAAATCTACTTATCTCGGAAACATGGTATGCTGCGAAGGAATTGTCACAAAGTGTTCGTCAGTTCGTCAAAAACTTCTCACTAGTGTGCATTATTGTCCTGCGACTAACAAAACTCTCGAGAAGAAATTTTCTGATTTTACCATGCTCGATGCTGCATTCACCAATAATTCCTATCCAACTGAGGATGAGAACAAGAATCCGCTGGAAACGGAATTCGGTCACAGTGTTTACAAAGATCATCAAACTTTCACCATCCAGGTAGAAATTGTTTCATTTACAATGTTCTTATACTACCCGATTTTATAGGAACTGCCGGAGTCAGCTCCAGCTGGCCAACTTCCAAGGTCGGTTGATTGTGTAGCAGATTTAGATCTGGCAGATCGCGTGAAACCTGGAGATCGTGTTCGAGTAATCGGTGTTTTCCGAGTTCTTCCAAGCAAACAGCAAGGCGTTTCAACTGGATCATTCCGCTCAATTATCATTACTAATAATATTCAACTTCTTTCTAAAGAAGTTATTCCGAACTTTGAACCGCAAGACGTTAAGGACGTGAGAAAAATTAGCAAATCCAGAAACGTAAGTTTATTTTAAACTCGAAAAAATTGGAAAATCGAGATTGAAGGTTTTCGAGCTTCTTGCCCGATCTTTAGCTCCGTCAATCTGTGGACACGAAGAAACTAAAAAGGCTCTTCTTTGTCTTCTTCTAGGAGGAATGGAGAAGATATTAGATAACGGAAGTCGATTGAGAGGAGACATCAATGTTCTGTTAATTGGTGATCCGTCAGTAGCCAAATCTCAACTTTTGAGGTATTTTCGTTGCGTTGAATTCATTAACTTTCTTTTTATAGATACGTTCTTCGAATGGCTCCTCGCGCCATCACAACCACTGGTCGTGGATCATCGGGTGTCGGTCTAACCGCAGCTGTTACAACCGATCCAGATTCGGGCGAACGACGACTCGAGGCCGGAGCAATGGTTCTCGCAGATCGTGGAGTTGTCTGTATTGATGAATTTGATAAGGTTTTTTTTACAAATTCAGTTATTAATTATATAAATAATATATAGATGTCTGATATTGATAGAACTGCAATTCATGAGGTCATGGAACAGGGAAGAGTAACAATCTCAAAAGCGGGAATTCATGCGAAGCTTAATGCTCGATGTTCAGTACTCGCAGCGGCTAATCCGGTTTATGGAAGGTCAGTAAATAATATAATTAAAATATTTAATTAAATTTTTAGATACAATCCTTTCAAATCTCCCATGGACAACATTGGAATGCAAGATTCGCTATTGTCTCGTTTTGATCTCATCTTTGTTCTTCTCGACGAGCACGATGCTGATAAAGACGCTGATGTGGCGAGCCATGTTCTTAAATTGCACACTTATCGTGCTCCGGGAGAAGCTGACGGAACTGTATTGCCGATGGGAAGCGGTGTTGAAACTGTCAGTACACTAAACGTCGAATCGAAGAAGTCTCGTAACTCGATTTATGAAGAAAATACTTCTTGGGCTGGATTGGACGAATCGTAAGTTTGCTAAAATAAAAAAGAAAATGAAAAATTTAATTCTCTAGCGCCAAAATTTTGACAATTGATTTCATGCGCAAATATATTCATTTGGCGAAGAACGTCCAACCGAAACTAACCGATGAAGCTACTGAATACATTTCCGAAGTTTACGCCGAAATTCGATCATTCGATATTGACAAGACTGATCAAGAAAGAGTAATGTATTCATTCAGTATTAAAATATTAAACCCTATCCGTTTTAGACGATGCCAGTGACTGCTCGCCAGCTCGAAACATTGATCAGAATTTCTACCGCATGTGCGAAAGCGAGATTCTCGAAGTATGTCGAGCGCGAAGATGCTGAAAAAGCTTATCATCTTCTCCATTACGCTTGCTTCAAAGAGAAGCCGAAAGCAAGAATGGAGTATGAAAAAAAGAAGAGAGGCGGTGAAACATACAAGAGCGATGATGAGGAAAGTGAGAAGGAGGAGGAAACAATGGAAGATCCAGATGATGAATCCGTTCCAACTGCTCCAACTCCCCGTCGTGGTGTTCGTAGACGTGCAGCAGAACTCGATGATGACAACGACAGTCAGGAGACAAATGACACTGTTTCTCAGACAACTGCGCCAATGGCGAAACGCCAGAAGACCGGTCCTGCCGCGATTGGAGTCGATCGGTATAAGGAACTCCGCAAATACGTTCGTAAAGCATTCGATGATGCCGGCGTTGCAGACGAGATGGTTGAATTGGAAACAATCACGAGAAGTAGGTGATTTGCAGAATATCATAATTTAATTTTATATTTAAAGGTGTTCAATCTCAAGCTGGAAATAATCGATTCAGTGAAGATGAGCTCAGAGCTGGATTTGAGCAACTTGAAAATGATAATGCTTCAATGATTGCTGATGGTAAAATTACACTAATTTAATTGTTTTATTTTCGTATTTCTATATATTCTGATCTCTATTACTCACCCATCCCAGTACTTTTTTTTTACAATTGAGGTGGTATTCTAAATAAATTCGACTCACGATTTTATTTCCAATACAATAAATATTCAGGCGCACAAACACCGATAGAAGAGAAAAGAATGAAGAAAAATAATAAGTGTGGAGTGGGGGATGGGATTACAAATACAATTCTTCGGGGGCTCCTTCCTTCTTACGATAAAGAACATTTTCCTTCGATTTTTGGAAATCTTCCATAGTTACGCGCATGCGGCGTTCACGAAGAGCCAATAATCCAGCTTCGGTACACATCGCTTTGATGTCAGCTCCGCTCAATTCGTCTTTAGCCGTAATGAATTCCTCGAGATTGACGTCGTCGCCAAGAGTCATTCGAGATGTGTGAATCTGCAAATTTCGTTGGATATATCTACGATTTACAAATTATTTCGGAACCTGGAAGATTCTGCGTTTTGTCTTTTCATCAGGGAGTGGGAACTCGATCTTACGATCAATTCTACCAGGACGAATCAATGCAGGATCGAGAGATTCGATACGGTTAGTCGCCATTAGAACCTTGACGTCTCCGCGCGAGTCAAATCCGTCTAACTGATTGAGAAGCTCAAGCATAGTTCTTTGGATCTCACGTTCTCCACCCGAATTCGAGTCATAACGTTTCGTACCGACAGCGTCAATTTCATCGATGAAAACAATTGACTGTAAAATTCTAATTACGATAAAATCATCTAATTGACTTTATACCGGAGCATTTTCCTCTGCAACTCTGAACAGTTCACGAACCATTTTTGGACCGTCTCCGAGGTATTTTTGAATAAGCTCTGATCCAACAATTCGAAGGAAAGTAGCCGATGTTTGATTAGCTACAGCTTTCGCCAAAAGCGTCTTTCCAGTACCCGGACAACCATAGAGAATAACACCTTTTGGTGGCTTGATTCCCATTTCTTCATAGTATTCTGGGTGAGTAAGTGGAAGCTCGACAGCTTCTTTGATCTCTTGAATTTGTTGATCAAGGCCTCCGACGTCGGCATATGTTTCTTGTGGCGCCTTTTCCAGTTTCATGACGGAAACCATTGGATCAGTATCATCGCTGAGAATACCAATAACAGCGTGATTCTTATGGTTGAGAAGAACTGAGCATCCGGGCTCGAGTTGCTCTTTGTCAACGAATGAGAGAATGTTGACATAATGTTCGCTTCCGACGTTCTTAAATTATTTTCCCGATAATAAAGAAAACTTAGACATATTGCTTACAGTTGAAACAATGGCGTGATGGTCATCAATGATTTCCTCAATTGAGCCCACAGCCATAGGGGTTCCGCGAATTTCATCAACTTTGGTGCGTTCCTCCTCTTGACGTTCATCCTGTGGCTTAAGTCTTTCTTGATTTTGGATAAACTCTTGCTCCATTAGCAAATAATCCTTGATTCTCTCATTTTTCAACAATTTCAGCCGGCATCTCGCATGGGGGGTTACAGTCGGCAGCTTGCTAGCGGCGTCTGGTCCCTTAGACCCCTTCTTCCTTTTTCCAATTCTAGTTGGAATTGGTGGCTCATATTTCTAAATAATACTTATTTTGGGGCATGGTAAAATGAGGAAAACTAACTCGAACCCTTTTTTTCTCTTTATCACCGTCTCCGCTTCCTTTATCGTTTTGTTTCCCACCAAAACCAGACTGTTGTTGTCCCATTCTGGAAAATAATTGCTCCTGAAACTATAATGTGGTTGTTTTCGAATAGTATATAATATTTCACGTAATTTTCGTTGACATTCGATGTAAAACGAAAATAAAAGAAAAATTGGAATGAGATTAAAGAAATTGCTTCTTTTGAATGATGATGACAAATAATGTTAGAAATGCGCTCCAACGAGAATATCTCCAATGCATGTCCAGGCGGAGTTTCGTTGCATTTTCATTCATTATTTCCACATGGTCAAAATCGTGTTCAAATTTGTTGAATTGTTGTTTTCTGGTGTATTTATGGACCTCTCAGCAAATCGTTCTGTAGTAACGGTGGAACGTTGGTGAATCGCCGAACAAACGGTGTTTTAGAGTGTGTGTTTTTAGATACAGAAAAATTTGCTTTCAACGCCGTTTCTACGGCACGATTTGCTGAGCTATTCGTGAAATTAATATTTTACAAAGTTGTTAAAAATTACATTAAATGTGCATTATTTTTTAAGAAAGCTGTCTTGGAAAAATGTGTAATTCTTACATTTTTTTATTGCATGAATAGTTCCATTAAATTAGTTTTCTTCTTTAGATTGCATTTTAATTATTTTATTGAGAAATAATTTTTAGTTTTTTTTTAATGAGCAAAACATTTCGTAAAAATTTTAATTCTCTTAGTATTTTTTGTTGTACATTCTACGTTATTTTTCAGCCGATATTTATATAACTAAATAAGGATTATCTGTAGACAAGATGATGCAATATATGCTTCTCTTCAGTAGGCAGGGAAAATTGCGCCTCCAAAAGTGGTACACTGCTTTTCCAGATAAGGTGAATATACCATTTTCTTAATAATTGATCATTGTTTTTTTTAGCAAAAGAAGAAGATATGCCGAGAGCTTATAACGCAAATTCTTGCCAGAAAGCCAAAAATGTGCGCTTTCCTAGAATATAAAGATTTGAAAATTGTATACAAAAGGTTTTCGATTTTAACCGTATGCAACAAATGATCAGTTTTTAGATATGCTTCCTTATACTTCTGCTGTGCTATCGAACAATCCGACAACGAGCTGATTTGTCTAGAAATCATTCACAGATATGTCGAACTTCTGGATAAATACTTCGGAAGTGTTTGCGAACTTGACATTATTTTCAATTTCGAAAAAGCCTACTTTATTCTTGATGAATTCTTGCTTGCTGGAGAAATTCAGGTTTATTAAAGTAAAATATCGTATCAGAAAATAAAAAGGTATTTTAGGAAACGAGCAAGAAACAAGTTTTGAAGGCGATCGCTGCTCAAGATCTCATTCAAGAAGAAGAAACACCACAAGGGTTCTTCGAAGATCATGGACTCGGATAATTTATTTGCACGCTTTCTTGTGGTATGAAGCTTATATTTATTGCAAAAATTATCGAAATTATTTATGTCACCTTTAATAATTGGTTGTGATTTTCATGTAAAATAAGAAACATTCTAATAAATATAAGTCGATAATGTAAAATATATTCCTCAAAAATTTCGATATGAATAATTGCGCACGAAGATGCACCTGGGAACTATTGCTTGAACATTCCCTGATAATTTCTTTTTCACTAATAATGGACTTGTTATACACATGTAATTGTAACTAAAGAAATTATCCGCGAATACTTTAGAATTCTGAAAACGAATAAATAGTTATTCGAATAAGATAAGCTGAACTTGGCTTCCATAAAGTAAAAGAATGGGCCCTTTCTGTCGACTTTGGTTGAAAATAGCTGGATACTGAAATAAAAATGTAATGTTTTCGTTGTAATATATTTCTCCTATACGTTTATCTAAAGCGACCCTTCGCAATGGTTTACTCACCACCAGAAGGAAAGCTGTGCTCATTCCGCCATGTTGAGTTCCGAGTAGTACCAGTAAGTATGAAACATCTAAACAAAATAATTTCTGAATCCTATTTAAACTGAAGTATTCGTTACATGTCCATTCCGGTTCAATAAATTCGATGAAATGTGCGACAATATATCCCATAACCGGAATGAATATAAAGAATAGATGAACACATGATTGAAGAAGGAGGTTGACCATAAAGACAATTTGTAAATTCACTGTCTTCTTTGAATATATTGATTGTGATTTTCGAAGTTCCAAGAATGAAGCAACAACGCAGAATAGAACGATTCCACCACCAAAAATTAAGAAAAACACTGATAGAGCAAATACTGAAATGCATGAGAAGCAGTCGAAGTCGAGGAAGAATATGCAGTTGTCACAGAATGCTTGTATCGGCATTGGTCCGCGTGTCAGACTGATCTTCAACTTTGTTTCGAAGCTGATCATATCCTCTCGACAATAGAGCAAATTTGTTAATACAATTATTGCCCCGAAGTGTATTGCATGCTTACATCTTCGAACATTTCGAGGAACTTTGCTGTTCGGGTTTAATATAACCGATTTCAAACGATATTCGAATAGAGTTAATATTATCAATCCGCTATCTAAACTAAATATTATTAGCAATGGGCCTATTTATCTTTTTTCATTTATCAGCGATTTATTTTCTGCACGCGTGAATATTTGAACGGCTCTTGCCCTGAGAATCGTAATAACGCTAATTTTTATTATTGTCGCCGATTATGGAAAATCGGCAATAACTTTATTCGTGTTCGAAAAAATTATCCTTATGATCAGCTCGTAAATCTACAATTGTAAATCTACACTCGAGACCACATTGTTTTTTTTTTGCCATATATAACAAGCCAATTTCCCGTAGTCGCGCAATTTCGACAATATTTTTTTGTTTTTCGAAATTCATTTGTTCGCGTTTTTTTATGATTTCAGACCGGTTTTCATTATACTTTTTCATGCTTCTTTGAAAATATCAATTTTACATTCAAAAAGATCATTTTATAGAGTGAAGTCAGCCAGTTATTTTTCACTATTTTTGAAGTGAGATTCAGCCAAATTCATCACTTTAATTGTTTCTGTTTGAATAAGAAAATTCGAAAAAAGTGTCAAATTTAAGAACATGTCTTAAATGTAATTTTAATTGCAAAAAATGCATGAATAAATAATATGTAAAAAATTGTCGTTTTTTATTATTATTTCAAACTTACAAATCATATTGACGTAAAATGTAAAAAACATTGCAAACGGATATTCATAAGCGAATCCTGTTGAGCAAGTCGCGACCCACGGTAAAATGACGTGCGGGTGCCAAAGAAATGACAAATAAGTATCAAACACTATATTTCTGAAGTGGTTTCAATCGTTTCAGAGGTCATTTGGCTCAAGGTTGTCCAGATGAATACCAGGCTCTGAGCTCTGCACCCCAAATAAGGCTAGACTCCGCGTTCTGTTTTTAAAGATTGAGGGAAATATTATTTTAAACATCTGCGGGCATTTTCCAGGATACAACCGCCTTTTGCTGTTATTAGAGGTGGCGGCAATTTAAATAAAGGCCTAACGATGATCCAGGCTTCATGGGCCGGGATTCTGTTTTTTTACAACCTTGGCTAGCTTACCCAAAAACATGTAAAAGGAGTAATTTTCTAAATGTGTGGAAAGCAGCGGGACATTTGTAGATTAATATATAGAATGTTGATAGATAAATCGGAGAAAACATTATATAACAGATTAGTGTAACTATTTTCAGAATCCGCTCGTCTTTAAAGGTGCAATCCATTCTGAAATACACAAAAAATATTAGATGTCCGGTTTGTATATGCAGATCTACAAGCAGGTGTCTTCGGCTATGTTCATGCATGGATTCACAGTTTATTTCAAATTCATGAGTTCATTTCATTATATTTAAAAACCAAATCAGTGAAAATTCAAAAATTCTAGAACATTTTTAGTGGAATACATATTTAATCGGCGTCAGCCGTCTGATCCGTGGGATAGATTTACGGGAGATGTAGCCTCGCGCAGAATAACTGGATATTTCGCATTAAATGACTGATTTCAATAATTTTTTATTTTCAATAATGGACCTATTCATGCAATGAAAAAATTGATTTTCAATACAAAATGTGTTAATTTGGATACCCTACTCGGGATATTACCTGCAAAGCAAACCGAAAAAAAAAATCACAAAAAATCATCATTTAAATGTTTCCCAAGAATACGTCCACATTGCTGAGAGAGTTAAAAATTTAAAAATAAAATTAATCGTAAAAATATTAACTGTAGGGATTGTCAATATAAGCCGGAAAAATTCTATGACACATAATTTTTGTGTGATTTTATAAACACAAGAAATTGTAAGCTAATTAAGAAAAAGCGCTATAAATAGTAGTGTTTCTCTCTGGAGAACGCCGAAACGTGAAAAAATATGAACATTCGCACGTGGTAAGACCGTAATTAAAGGCGCGTGCCCCGTAAATCTACCCGCAGCCGCCAGACACCGAGTATATAAATAATCAATTTGATCGAGACAAATTCCTACAATATAACTTCGAAACGATTGTTACAAGAGTTAGAATTTACACAGAGCTCCTTGATATAAAAAAAAACGAATCTGACGACGCATAGACGATGATATTAGATAGAAACTCTAATTAAGAAGCGCGACAAAAATATGCGATTCTAATTAACATTATGAAGCCTACTCGGCAAAATCGCCAAGTTTCTTTATCTACAACTACTGAGCATTGATATGGAGAAAGTGGAAAAAGAAAGAGCGAATCGTTTCATGAAAAAAAAAAACAAAATGAAGGCCGCACTAAAACTGTGAAAATACAAACGAATTTAAACGAGTAAAACGTTATTAGATACCTCTTAATAAAATACGTTTAAGTTGTTTTTTTTTTTTTTTGAAAAAATCGCAGTTCGATTTTTGTGATTTTATAATTAATTGACCCGACTAGAAATTATATGAGGCACAAGGATTACTACTGAGATCTATTTCAAATATATACAGTGTTTCTTTTTTAGATTTTACTTTTAACACTTTTTTGGTAAACCTTTCTTTGAATCTTTATGAAGCATTTCAATCGTAAAACTGAACTTCTAGGTTCTGTTTTAGTCTACCGCAAAACTCGCCTTCCGCTTTTAAAACATCCTCGGACAATTCAAGCGAACAAAAGCCAGTCGCCGAAGTGTAAAAATGCAAATCAAATGGAAGACCACACCGAACACCAAGCAATCAGTGCATATCATCTGTGTAACGTGACAGGTCCGGCTCATGTCGATCACATTACTACGAATGAGCAACATCGGCTACTCAACACGAAGCATTGTTGATTTCCGCGTGAACAAGTTTAGATGTTGCTTCTTCGTTTTTGCCAATCGTTTTGTGTTTCCGCTATCCACTTTACGGAGTGTCCGCGCGCTTTGTTTCGAGAGCCGCCTACAAATAAGTGCGCCTCCTGTTGTTGTTTTTTTATTACATATTTTTATGTGTGTTTTCAACCAAATATTTACTTACACACCAAAAAAGTGAATGCCTGTCTATAGCCCAAAACATTCTGTTAGTCTCGCGTTATTTACATTTTTGTCTAATTTTTAATCTTGAAAGAAATATATAACCCACCAAAAACATTTTGAAATAATGAACTTGTGTGAGATGGAAAAGCTTGATGCCCAAATATGAATTAATGAATATTATTTTAATAGACATATTTTTTGAACTGAAAACGCTCAATCCATAACCTTATATTCAATTCAATAACTGATGTACACACGTATACATATTTATTTAATTTTTTAATAGGAAAATCAGAAAAATTTTTTAAATATATAAGATTTCAATACAGCAAAAAGGAAAAATGAAGAAAAATAACTATTTATTTTCCTATTTTTCTTTTGTATTGAAACTTTACTTTTTTACTTTTTTCCTGCGTTTGTTTTTAAAATTTTCAATTTTCACAGTTTAGAGGAATAAGTCCATTACGTTTTATACGTTTTAGTAGGCTAGCATGATTTCATGGCGCCAGTGGAATAATTGACGTACAAAAGTTGCAATTATTCTACTTCATGGAATCCTCTTACAATACACATCTTCTTGCCAACTGCATTTTTATTTCGATTTCTAATAATCCGAGAAAAAAGTTGATAGCGTTTTCATTTTTCGTCAACTTTTGCCTTTTTTTGTTTTGACTCTTGCTTACCTCAATCCTACCAGAAACAATAATATGGCCCTGTAATTATGTGTAGACGCATAGTTTGAGTTGAGCGGCTTTGACGTATAATTACGGCTACCAGCGCAAGTTATGACACTGTTGTCGACCTCGACGTTTGTGTGTGTGTTTTTCGCGCAATCGCTGCGGGAGACATTCTGAATCTCGAATTTTATTCGTGAAAATTGTTGCAAATTCACATGTTTAGTTTCTTTAATCGTCATATTCAAATAATAACACAAAATAATTTTTTTTAGAAAACAATTAATTTTCATGTCGAGAAGCAACGATAATCCCGAAATCATAATTTATCTCGTTTCGAAATTGATTGTCATTTTATCACATCGGTTTTCTCGTTTTACACTCACTTTGCCCTTACATTAATTATTAGACAAAAGTAAACAGAAGGGTGTGTAATGAAATGATGCGCAAAGTATGCATAATTGAATGCAATTCTCGATTATGCAATGCTGTTTCATCGACTGAAACACCCATTTGTTTGTTTACCTTTTTGTTTTTGTTTTGCGCAATTCCTCATAATACGAATTGTGTTTACTTAACACAAACTAAGAAAAAGAAGTCAATTTTCGGGATTATGCCAAATTCATACCTTGTTCTTTGTTAATTCTTACATTTTCGCAGTGTTTTCTCAATCGTAGATTCTTATCGGAGCCATCAAAAATATTTGTCATTATTTTGACACAACCACAGTCACACGAACGATTTCGATTTTTTCCAAGATAATACCGTAATCGTGGGTAATATGGCTAATCGAGGTGACAATACTCGTTGTTTCTTTCAATACGAATATGCGGCATGTCAATCAAAACTATTCAATTCGATTCATCCAATCCAACTTTTATTAGTATTATATAATAAAAGTAATAATTGGGTTCTACGATTTGCTGATCGTCCGGACTTTATCTACTTTCGATTCAAAACCCTTCTGCTTTTGTCTCAGCTGCTGTTGCATAGTGGTCAAACAGACCCATTTGTCACGGCACCTCGTAAATCATAAGCTCGTCTTCGTCACCCCCAGCTCCCAAAATTTGAGATATGGTGTAAATCGATGGGCCGATGATTCATTTCAATTCTCTCGTTTGCTCATCAATTTCAAACCGAACTGTTTTCCTTTTTTTCCTTTTTTCTTACTCTTTCAAATTTCACAATAATATATCTCAACATTTGTTTCTCATCACTGAACATTTTTTCTTGAGATATCAAAACCGTTTTTTTTGGCTCATTTCGTAACCCAAATTCGAAAAATAAGTATTATTCTAAGGCGTAAAACTCATGAATATTTTATAGTTTCTCATGAAATTTGGCTTTGATGAAGTCACGCGATTCGCAAAAAAAAAATGATTTGATGGTAATAATTTTAGAATTTCTCAAGTATTTTACAGCAATTGCTATATTACACATTATTTTTTTTTTGTTCGATTTTAGACCGTTCAAAAACATATCAACAATGTCCCTTTGTTTGATTCGATTCCTTTTCACCAATTCGAATCGTCTTGTGATACAAAATACATTCGAATAAGTACAATACGTGAGGTAGTTTAGCGTCTAAGCCGTCAATTATGCGCTTCTTCCGGCCGCCAACCATTAACTCGTCTTGTGTGTCCCATTTTTCGCACGAAAAGTAGTATTTTACCTAACGCTGTTTGAACGGAACACGGCGATTTGAGGAGATGAGCCGCCGCGCAAAGCCCCCAATTTGATTTATATATATCCCAATGAAAGGTGCCGACCGGACAAATTTCGACAATTTCTTGTTGTCAATACTGAAAATAGAGAGATTTCTCACAATTAGCTCTAAATAGATGAAAACTCGACGGTCCTGTCTAATAACCAAATTGTTTTTGGAAATTTTGAATTATAATGACATTCTCAAATACGAATTATATCATAACTTGCTATATACACATCATTGTTTCACTAGTCCCAATTCGCACGAGTTAATTTCACCCGTAAAAATTTGAATCTAAAAATCTACAAATCGCGTATCACACTTTCACAATATCAATTATTAAATTGTTGACAACTCGAAAATGAGGCCATGTCAAAACTCGTGTATTCAACGTATGTGATGGCCATTTTATTATATGTACATAGATATGTATGCAAGATGATTTTTGCATGTTCTTTTTTCACTTGTCGTCATCCTTCAAGGTTAAACTCGTCGATCGGTTCCTCCACAATACATATTTTTTTTAGTGATGGGGGGGAAGGTATGGTGTTGCGGCGCGCTCTTTTTTGTAGGCCCGACCCTGTGCCGTATCGGCTTCTTTTTATTCCACCGACATCGCCCTCATCGACATTTTTTCTTTTGTGTTCGTCTCCCCTCAGCCGCTAATTGATTTTTTCTGTTTCGTTTTGATTTGTTCAAAGCAAACTTTTTGTTGCAGTATTCATTTTTTTTTTCTCGATGGGACCATATGGTTTTTGTTGGGTGCGCTCACTCATCAATTTTGTTGAATAATTTATTTGAGATCCTAAGCGCTGGGTTTATGAGAATTCGTTTGTTGGGAATCGTCCAAAATATGTGCTTAAAGAAATTACTTCAAGAAATCCACTTTCGTAACGAAATTTGCTGGTATAGTCTGTTCCTTAGAAAAGCTCGCTTCTAGAATCGGTCGCTGTGAGACTCAGCCAAAAAGCTGCGTTCATCTTTAATAACCGTATTCAATATTTTCAAATTTTACCAACTTCTCAATTTGTCTTAAAACTGCTGATTCCGGGATTCGTACGTCCAACTTTCAATGTTTTTAATTCGAATATTTGAACATTATTTTCACGAATTCCTCGTTTATCTTAACTTCGCGATCCAGTTGAATTTACTCACAATTTTCATGAAATTTTTTGTTAATCGAATATCATAACTTAAATAATTGAAAATCGGAAAGAAAAAAAGAATTCAGTGGTTTTTTAAGAAATTTGATTAGTTTTTTTAATTTCGAAAATATTTTTGGAGATCCATGGGCATGTGAATTTCTTTCGATTTTAAATGTTGTATATATACTGTAGCAAAATTATCTGTGAACATAGTCACGTAAATTCACGGCATTTTATATTCTATTTCCAACACGCCAATCTCGGGCAAAACAGTGTTTTTTGCTTTCGGATAAACTGCAAATTTTCGGAGAAACAGTGACGAAAAAATAGAACAAATTTGTTGTTTTCCTCATAAAGCGTGTTTTGCCCGATATTTTATTTTTGCTAAATTTTTAAATAAAAAATGGCTAATGCTTCACAACGTTATTCGATATTTTATTAAAACAATATGTTTCTGGGCACCGAAAACATTCGAACGCAAATGTGTCAGAAAACGTTAATTTTGATGTGATATGTGACGGCAATCGTAATATTTTGTATGGCATGTTCGCAATTAGTCCGAATTTTGTACCTAGCATTACGATTTTTAAATTCATTTTAAATATAACAAATGCAACTTGGTATCTGAAATATGTATATTTTTCGCAATATTTTTTAAGTGAAATAAGTAACTCACTTTATTCATTTATTCAATAAAATATACATGTTTTATATATTTATCGTTAAATCTTTTATTTAAACCGGCTTCTCATTTCTCGACTTTGTCGGTCGCTACGAGGTGCATCTTTAAGCACAAAAGTAAACGCATTTCCGGAAAGATTAACATCGTTGACGTGTGAAGTTGCGAAATGCATCCCGATACATTTTCCAACTTGTTTGCCGTATCATCTTCCAAACATATTATTTTTTGCGCGGTTACAGAATACAATGTCATCAATCGAGTCTTCAAGTATCTCGACTGTTCATTATGCGAAACCAGTTGTCCACGCCAAACTTGGCGCTTCTAGTTCGTCGCCACGTTCTTCTTCGAATCCATCAACACGTTAGTTTTTTTGTTTGTTCACTTAAATATAGGTAATTAAAATTTTTAATTGATTGAAATGATATCGTTTTACAAATCCTATTCGATAATTTTAAACGTCCTATCTTGAGTGTTACTAACCTGTGGAACCTTCATTTTCGCATAATTGCCCGTTTAAACTTAGCGGGGTATAATAAATACAATTATAATATATTAATTCTCGAGACCCGTATAAGTTCGCATCTAAATCGAATAAAGGAATCTCAAGTGGTTCAATAATCTTCGTTTTCACCTGTTCATGAACCAACCAAATTTACGTTTCAGCGAATTCTGTCCGTTCTCCGAATATTCGTTATCCGACTGTTGTCGTAAAAGAAACTGGAAATACATCACCATCTTACGCAGTTCCAGTTCCAAAAAAATTTGTAAGAAGTGTGTTTAAGATTTCAAATAACCTCAGAGTTTAGGGAATGTCGCAGCAATACTCTACTTCACATCTCCAATATGAGCACATTCGGCATAGATGTAAAATGCTGGATGAAGAGAATCAAAAGTTGATGAAGATGCAGTCTGATGTGGTGAACGATGCTAATCGTAGAGTTCAGGTAAGCGCTTCAATATTTGGGTGTTTTTTTCATATTTGGGAGTCGCGCGCGAAAAACAAACAATTTTTGATGGGCTTTGATTGATTAGTTATTATCTTTTCGATTGCTTTCTCATGTGCTCCTGGATTGGCCGCGCGCTTTTCCCAAGTAATAAGGTGCCGATTTGCGGCACTTTTCACGTTCATCAGATATCACTTTTCAGATGCATGTAAATGAAATCAGAATGCTCAAAGATGAGAATAAAAAGATGCAGTTAAGTAATAAGGTTGGTTTTTATCATATCTGGAAGAGATATTAAAATATAAACTGGGCGCGATTAATTTACAAAAAAATCAGGCTCGTTGTTTCGAAGCCGAGTTTCAAATAAAAACAGGAATACTTTTGAGTTTTCTGACTCTTTGTATTCTGTAAAGTTCAAGCCATAAATCACACAATGGCGGTAGTTGCGCACTCACGCCAATAAATTACTGAATTACGATTAAAATGCGAATTTTAAGGAACTTCGCGACTTGTGTTGTTTCCTTGATGATGATCGTCAGAAAACACGTCGACTCGCCCGAGAATGGCAAAAGTTCGGCCGTTATACTAGCAATTTGATGAAACAGGAGATACAGTCATATCATCAGAAGCTGTCAAATCTTGAAGAAAAGCTGACATCCAAAGAGCGCGAAGTCGACGAACTGAGGCAACTGTGCATGTACCTCGATGAGCAGCGCCAATGTCTCATGGGAAGTGTGAATCCAAACAATCATAGTATCCGAAGTGATGACGAAAGCGAAGATCTCGGTAAGATATACAGAATTAAAAGACCATCCTAAACATTATTTATGCGCAATAAAATAGAAAACGGGCTTCTGAACTAGTTTCGTACTAAAAATTTATGGCTGGGTTTATCAGTGGCTAAACATAAAAATGTAATGAAGAAAACAAAAGACCCGTTTAAATGATATCGAACATTCGCATAAGTCTAAAAATTGAATAAATTAATAATACATGACATAATATGTTGTTAATATTTTAATTAAAGGTTGCGGAAGTAGTGAGCAAAGCGGAGGTTCGAACGATGACAAGGAATACTGTTTCAATCAACATAAGGTTTTAGTAATTGTTGGCCCATGATTTTATGATTAATTCTTTTCTAGGAATCAACACTTCGTCGTATAACGGAACAGATGGCCACTTCGATGGATTCGACAATTTGCGATGAGGAACGTCGCGAAGCTTCGAAACGCGAGAGATCTCGCTTGCTCGGATACATTCAATCATTGGAAAATCGAATTAAGCATTTGGAAATGTCGCAGAATCATGAAAGTTTTTGGAACTCTAGTTCAAATATGGGATCAGATTGTGACGAGAAAACGATTATTGAAAGAAGTTGGGATGTTGAAAATACTGAGCCAAAAAACAACGGAGCTACTACTGAAAAGAGTATGAATATGATGATGTCAATGACATCTTCTGGATGCACTACTTATGCAAGCTCGGGGACCGACGCTGATAGCGTATTCGTAATGGGAGACGAAATTGGTATTACCAAAATTATTTGAAAATTGATAAAAGAATGATTTTCTAGACATTGGTAATCTCGAAGTTCGTACTTTATCACGTATTGACGAAGAAGCTGAAAAAATGGCGCAGTCGACGATTGAAGAGAGTGCACGAATGCCGCCCAAAATTGCACCGCCTGTCTGCTCGAGCTTGGTAATTTGAAAATATGTTTATCAATACGTTTATCTTTCAAATCTAAGCTTTCTGTGGCAAATTTCGATGAACCGCCAACATCGATTGCATTGATGAGATCGGCATCAGAGTCGTGTCACACTTCACAGACAACAGTTTTGAACGTGAAAGGTAGAAAGAATTTAAGAAAGCTATTGGAATCTGAATCAATAATCAATTTCAAATTTAAATTTTTTAGGGGGCCCGCGCTGCATTTCAATCGAAAAGTCGAATCCAATAACCTGTGAAAACACTAATGAATAATGTATAAATTAACTAATTATGTAATTATAATAACTAGCTATTAACATCACAACTAGTCTCATGGTCACATAATTCTTCTTTGATGATTTTGTCCCATTAAATAAATCCAACACTTTATGTACAATAATAGAATGTCTAGCGAAATATACACTACGCGGTGAACCTGTTTGGGCATTTAATGCTATTTTAGAAAAAAGCTTCCTTTTCTCGAAACAAATTTTAATATAATTAAGAAAGGAATGAAGAGCAGAGGTCTTGCGAATAAGCCCAAAGTCGCTCTTGAAGACGTTCATCGGTAGCATCGGAACCGCTTCTAAATAATATCGCTAATATCATCTCTGCCCACCTGATTAATAATACCTGAGCTGTTTTCCACTAGGATCTAAGTATTTTCCTGACACTTTTTCAAGAATCGGACCTTCTATTAGTTGCGCTAAGTTTCCAGCTTGACGACATATCGAAAGGGTTGACATGGATGATGAGAGGGCAGAGGTGGTTCTCCTAAAAAAAAATTGAGATGCATATTGGAAAATTGAGCATCTCGGCAATCTGTCCGATCGAAGCCTAAAAGGTTTCTGAGTAAAACGTACAATTTTCCATTATTATTCGGCTCCTTCTCTTTTCCCAGTTCAATTACGTTTACATTGATTGTTTTGTGTGCAATATTCATTCTAAAAAAAACCGATAATCGTTTTGAATTGATCTATTCAATTCTTCAACCTCCTGTGCAGTGCAAATGCCATCAAATGACACATGAGTTTCGATCTCGAATATTGCAAATATTTCTCATAGTCTTTTTCAGCCATAATATCAGACCAGTCGAGCGAAGGCCTCAAAATGTTTTTTTTTTTATGTTTTCAAGAAGTTTTGTTTATAGTTTTTTTTTTCAATCTTGGCGGAAAAAATAAACGCTGTCGGGATTAACAAAATTGCTCTCTTTATTGCAGAAAATTGGTGTTTCTTGAGCATTGAACAATTTGTTGAAAAAATAATTGGCATGCGCCGCATTTCTCCGGTTCACGTTGTGCAAAAATCTCGAACTGGCCTGAGCCGATTTTGCCGAAAAAAAAGAGCAAAGTACGGACCTCTTGTTAGAATTGCCACTAACGCTAATTTAACAAAAGAACACGATTGTGGCTTGATCCGGTAAATGTCCGCAGATGTTTAAAATGAAATATCTCTTGCATGGTTTAAAAATTAGGGTCCCCCTATCGACCGTTTGAGCTAATGTTCTAGGTTAGGCTAGGCCAGGCCGAACCACCCCTCCTGTTAACACCTCTGAAATCAGCTGACAAGGACGGCTCACGCCATAAGAAAAATATAAACGTCGTAATAAAAAAGTTGTTTGCACAACTAAAAAAATATAATTTCACTTGTGAACCTATTCTGCGAAAATTTGCCGATGTAATAATCATTTAAAAGAACTGATTGTGAGGAATCAGTTCTTTTAAATTCTTCTTGGTGCGAATTCGATTTAAATTTATATAATTCCTTGGCATCTTAAATTTTTCGTTTTATCCCAACTTCTTGTTTTTGCTCGTTGCCCATTTCGTTTCCTTTTTCTTTTTTATTTTCCATTTTTTGGACGTCCAATTTGCGTTTGCGCTTCAAAATTCAGGCGATATTTCCCCAGAGCATTCGAGTGTTATGCTGTGGTTGCATTTATTGTGTTGCTCGCTCAATCTTTCAACCCGCTTTTTTTGGGCATTGCGTGCGTTTGAGCCACGAACGCATTGTGTGTGTGCATCGGCACATGACGACTGACCATGTATGAAGAACACTGCCCACGATGATCACGTTTGACTGACTCCGAGACAGTAGTGGAATGAGCAAACTGCACAATAGAAAGTGGCTCAGATAATTAATCTGAAATTGAGAAAAATTCAACTCATCGCCGTTGTGCACCAAGAATTCGAAAGAAAAAAATTTGGCAACTAGAAATCAACATTCTATAGACAATCAGAATAAACTTCGAAAATTCGTTCTAATGGGTTTCACTCTTTTAGTAAAAAAAATTCTGCGGTTCAATTCAACAGATTTTACATATCTTTTTAAAATTTTTTAAAGGTTAAGTTTGTGACTACAAATAATAATAGAAGATTATCCAAAATTACCTGAAAGGTAGCTTCAAATCCATCTTTGGTTTCTAATCTTCTCGAATTTAGCACTCCTGTATTGCACAAAAGAACATTAAGTCGTGGAAATCGTCGTTTAACTTCATCCGCCATTGCAGAAACCTTCAACAAGTTAAGCTTCCAGTTAATTAGTTCTCATTAACATGTTATTTTCTTCATTTTCGGCAAATGGTAATTCAATTTTGTTTTTTTTTCTCAGAATTGGGAGGCGGAAAATATTGGCATTGAATAATAAAGGAATGAATTAAAGAGAAAATCTATTTGCGAAACATGCGTCTATTTATAAATGCAGCCATAGTCTGCTTCTTTTTTTTTTTGAAAAAAAAACAAGGTAACAAAAATCAGTCGCCACGGACTTGGCTCATTTTCCGCGGAGGAACTTACGAAATTTCAAAATATTGACGCCGTAAAATGATTGATAAGTGGCGGGAAATTCAATTTCGCAAAATAAGGACAGATCTAAGCAATTGTATTGTATTTACTCATGCGATAATTATTAAATGCGCGTAAGTTAAAATGCAAAGTACGTAGACATGCACAGTACCCGTTTTTTGTGTATACAGGCCATAATTTTGTACGATTTCGTCTATAACAATTAAATGAGCACACAGTTCTCAAATTTTTCTGTTAGTCGTTTTTTTTGGAAACAGCTAACAAATGTATTTGGACATACCTCTTTGAGGGAACAAAAATTGGCAGAAACATAATCGACATTGCTCGAATCGCCGTTCTCTTTATGAATCGTCTCTTTTGTCAACTGAAAATCAAATATTAATTTTGTAGAAATCTTCAATCCAGTGTTTTATGACCAACTAACGTTTTTGAATATCATTTCAAAAAGTGAGGAAAAAAGGGAATTCGGGTTCTCAATTTTCAAATAAATAATACATTGAGTTTGAAACTATCGAATAGCCAACAATTTTTGCTTACAATGCATTTTTGCTCAGTTCTTCCATGAATTATCACAAAGTTATCTGGATGTGCGGCAAGATCCAAAGCGGTTTGTCGTCCGATTCCATCGGTAGCGCCGGTGATAAGAATCGTCCTCTTATATTCCCTGCTCATTTGTCGTCTACAAAATTAATTAAAGAATGTGGTGCGAATGAAAAAAACGATAGCAACAACAACGAAGAAAAAATGCAAAGGGAGTGAGTGAGAAATACGCATTGATGGGTCAAAACAACAAAGACACAACCACATTTTGTGTGCATTTCGAAATGTGTGGCTTCTTCTCGTTTCTGCTCGCCGACCACAATGTTCCGCCCATTTCCGCCTGGAGCTGCCGCCGAATGAAAGTGAACATCTTATACATCATGGGACACCGCCGAAATTTATTTTTATTGATGTTTTCTTTCTCAACAAAAATTTAGAATTAGCAAGCAATAAAAAAACTACTTTATTTTTCACCTAAAACAATAGTTTCAATTTGAATTTAAAAAAAAAACCAAAATCCATATTCTTGGTAATAAATTTACACCAAAACGGCATTTTTCGTGTCGTTACTCGTCTTTTCAATCTTTTCCCCCCAATTTATTTTACTTTTTTTCTCATCCTTGTCCTCCCTCCTTCATTTCTTTTTTTCGTCCTTGCGAAAAACCTAGATAGGATGAATGGCATCGGATAAAAAAGAGGATGAAAAATGAAATAAATTGATGTCAAAGAAAAACGAAAATGAAGGAAAATGAATGGTTTAAAAACGAAAAAATTGGAAGAAGGAAGAAAAAAAACGAAAGAACGACAAAGAAAATTTTTGACGAAAATGCACAAAATTGCTTTCGGTTTCTAAAAATGGACAAAAAAGTTTGGAAAGCAATCTAAAGCTGTGCACGATTTGAGAGGAAACCAATAACGAATACTAGGTTTGTAAATTCTATGAAAACCAAATTATAACTATAAATAAATCAATTATGAAAAAATATGGTAGAAAACAGTCTTTCGTTTTAAGATTACACTCTTTATTACAAAAATATGCAACATAATCGAGTTTTAAAAAAAGCGAAAATTTCAATTTCAATGTTTTAAACTATGTTATTAATAAAGGTGTTGCCTTGTAAAAAAAAAACAATTTTTAGTTTTCATTCTTAATTCAATTTTATATTCAGTACGGTTGGCCATCATCAAGAGCGGTCAAAAAAGAAAAAAATTTGAAAAAATGGAGCAAAAATGATCTAAAAATAAACAAGAAGGAGTTGCCGGTCCTGAATTTTTTTGGCTCCTCTTTTTCGCCAAATAAACGATGAGAAATTCGAGAAGAGGCGTCGTTTCAAGGCTTCGAAGAACTCGAGAATGTTGCACACACACATACGCATACACCCAGACAACACCAAATTGACAAAGGATGCGAAAAAAGAAAAGGAAGAAAAAAATGAAGACGAAGGAAGCGTCCACACAAGCCTTTTAAAACAAATCTCGAGAGATAATATAATAAATCGATGGCCCTTTTTTTTGAGAAGAAAAAGGACCTCCTTTGAAAAATGGTGAATAACATGCTTCTCTATTTACAACCAATGGGGTTTTATTAACAGAATTATTTATAAATTAAATGTTTCGTCAAGATTTTTGTTGACTTACGCTGCTGAACGGAAGTGTGCCAAGTCCATATGACAGGAAATGCATGAGCTATTCATGCATTATGCGTGATTGTTCATGAATTCCATTTTAAAACGTTCTAATATTTTGGTAGAATATCTAAAAGGGGCCAAAAATCCATTTGAGGAGCTTTTCCTGGAGGATAAGAAAGCGAGAATGCATTTCTTCTTCAACCATATATTTAATCTCATTCTTTTTTCGCGAATTTTTTCGAGATTCGTTTCCGATAAACCCAATATTTTATTGTATTCAAAAAAACTCAGTTCAAAAAATTGAATGAATGAAAACCCTAACAGTAATATAAAAAATAAAAAACAATATAAAAACATAATTAGGACATCGATAAAAGTTTATAAATTGCCGGCGTCGTGAGCAGTGTGTCTACCCGGGACGAAGTTTCCCGGGAATGGCCGGGTTCCCGGGAAATTCCCGGGACCCGGGACTCATTGAAACTTAATTTCCCGGGATCCCGGGACAATCTCGGGACAATCCCGGGAAAAAGTCTGCAAACACCGCGCGCTCTTCGAATATTGCGTATTGTCGTTTTTTAATGAATTTTCTTATTTTAAAAAGATTCCAATGCTTAGAAAATGGCGTTTTTGGAAAAATCGTTATTTGCACATTGCAATTGTGCTCATTTTTCTGCGAAATTTTAAAAATTCCAAATAGGGACTTCCTATTCCATTTTCTAAGCATTGGAATCTTTTTAAAATAAGAAAATTCATTTTAAAAGAAACGAGAATACGCAATATTCGAAGAGTGTGCGTTTGCGCGCGCGGTGTTTGCAGACTTTTTCCCGGGATTGGAGTCCCGGGATTTCCCGGATAAACCCGGGAAACGAAATTCCCGGGATCCCGGGTAGATATACTGGTCGTGAGACTATGGAAAATTGGCTAAATGCAAGGAAATACATGTATTAGGTAGAGGGTTTCACCATTTATCAAGTTTCAGTAGTCGCGCGACGTCAAAAATATAAACTCGATAAGAAAATTAAAAAATCAGGCGGCCGGGCCAAAGCATTCCCTTTCATTCGTCCGAGTAAGCCGATACTATCAAGTTTAGTCAAATATCCAAACTCTGCAAAAAAATTTATTTGAAGAAAATCCTTTTACTATTGAATTTTTTTTATTCGGCCTAGGCGCGGCTGTGGCCGGCTACGTCTCGGATAAAACAAAATGAAAACTAGAGATGGAAACGTGTGGGGGTCTGTGAAAAATATGCGGGTGGTTTGTAGAAGCCGTCGATACATTTCCATTTTTTAACGTGGATGTTAATAATCGACATCTTATAAATAGCTACTACGCCATTTAATACTTTTGCTAAGAAACATGGCACTTTCATAAAAATTATTTAGACTCTTTCATATTATGACCGTAAGAAAATGGGGATGCTACTATCAGCAAATATGCCGTAGAAACACCGGAAAGTGGAGATTTCGGTGAAACTCCGATGAAAACATTTTTCTCCGTCCCTCAAAATCACACACACAAACACTCTCTCAAATATTGATTCCCTTGCGTTTCAACAGCGATTCACCGAAATCTATATTCCCTGCAGTTTCTGAGGCATTATTTGTTGAGCAGTACAACACTCCGCGAGACCTCGTTTTAGCGTATTTCGGTTAATCGAACATCAACGTGTCTAGAATTTTTTGTTTTTTTTTGGCTCGTTCATTGCACTTATCCAATTTTATTCCATTTTTTCCAGAGTAATGGAGCTCTCAGAATTCATTGAAGCTCCCAGAGTTCATGATGCATTCATGAGAAAAGGACCGCGACCGTCACAAGTAGGAGATATATGCATATTTGGTATTTAATCATTAAATATCTCATAGCGTCATCTATGTTTCAGGGCATCATTTAATTTTTGCACCATCTAATCCACAAAATGATACGACTAATCAAAATTTGAATAATGAAGAGTTCTGGGTAATAATTATACTCCGATGCGCCATATTTTATATGAATTCAGTTGCTTCATAAAGCCGTAGACAGAGTTTTATGTGAGCCAATTTCAAAAGAACAACCTTCAAAAGGAGGATTATTAGCACTAAAATGTAAAAACTTTCTGGTAATTAAACTATAGCTTTTATCATTTACACAATTTTTCAAATTGTAGATAATAATTTTTGAAATTTCCGACCTGGAGCTCTGCCGAGCTGCTGCTCGTTCCATTGAATCTCTTTCCAATCTAAGTAATTTTTTTCAAGAATTTGCAATAATTTTAAATTTAAGATGGAGTTGTTCACGACTACGCCTTCTTTTATAACTCGCCATTTACAATTCTCGATGATGGTTGGACTGCGTTCAATCCAGAGCAAGAGTTCGCACGTCTAATGACTTTCTCTGATAATTTTCGAATTTCTAGCGTTAATGAAAACTTTTCCGTAAGCAAAATATAATTTAAAAAAAAAGAAACATTGACTCTTACAGATTTGTCCTTCTTATCCTGACAAAGTGATTGTTCCGAAAGGAATTGGAGATGATTATTTGAAGATTTCAGCCACTTTTAGGGACGGAGGAAGATTTCCGGTTTTAAGCTATTTTCATAAAGAAACGAAAGTAATTTTTTGGAAGTCACCCGATGATTCATATGGGAGAAATTCGCTATTTCGAACAAACGCGAAAAACAATATTTTCTCCCGAACGAATCACCTATTTATTGAATTTACCATATTACAGTCTCCGTTAATTCGATGCGGTCAGCCACTTATTGGTCCAACTAATCGTCGATGTCGAGAAGACGAAACTATTCTTAATTCGCTTCTCACTGTAAACCGCGGGTTCATCATTGATACTCGCACGAAAACAGCAGCGACATCTGCAAAAGCGAAAGGGGGTGGAAGCGAACCACAAGGAAATTATCGTCAGTGGAAATATCTTCATTGTCCGATTCCGAAAATGCGCGATATTCACGATGCTCTTACAAAAATCGTTGACGCGTGCTCCGACCGCAAAATAAGTTCGGATCGTTGGGTTAATCGAATCGCTTCATCAGGATGGCTTTCGGCCGTGGCAGCTTCTCTAGAATGTGCAGCAAATGCTGCGCAATGTATTCATTGCGAAGGAACAAAAGGTAATTTTTAATATATCATCTTATAAATGTGTATTCTGTTCTAGAAGTACCCGTCGTTATTCATGGCGGCGAAGGAACTGATACCACATTGATCGCTTGTGCTTTAGCACAAGTGATTCTCGACACCGATGCCCGAACAATCCGTGGACTTGAATCGGTCATCGAAAGAGAATGGATCTGTGCTGGACATCCATTCAGTCTTCGCAATGCTCATTGCGCTTACGCTGAAGGAACAATCACCGGTCCTTTCGAGAGCCCAGTGTTTTTAGTCTTTCTTGACTGTCTTTTCCAGGTGAAAAGCAAAACGGACAATCCGTTTAAAATGAAAGTTGTTTTCAGATGGTATCGCAATATCCATTATCGTTCGAATATGATGAATCATTCTTAATCTTCCTTTTCGAACACGCTTATGCAAGCGAATTTGGCTCATTTGTTGGAAATAATGAGAAGGAGAAACAAGAGTATCAAGTTAAACAGAAGACCGTATCGTTGTGGTCTCATGTTCATCATCCAGAAACATTGAAACAGTTTGTTAATCCATGTTATGATCCAGAACCTGGAGTCCTTTGGCCTTCAATTGCTCCACAATCGATTGTAAGAAGCATATTTAAATTTTTTGGATATTTTGTTTTTCTTTTTTTTTTTAGAAAATTTGGGAGCGCCTATTTTTCCGTTGGCAGCGCCGTGAATCCAATTGGTCTTCACAAGAAACGGAAACAATTCAAAAACTTGCAGAACATTGGCAATTACGCGAAAAAGAACTTATAAGTAAAGCTTCTTTTTTGAGAAGGTAATTTAGATGAAATAAAATCTATCTACGAATAGTTTAATTTTTCAGGAGCGTTGCCGAATTAACTAAAGAGTTACGTTCTCTTGGAGTACCCACCTCATAGAAATTATGTTAACAAGATCTCACCAAATTGTGTCATTTTATATTTATCAAATATAAAAATAGTCGAAAAGTGAAAAAGAAATATATACTCGCAAAATACATTCTAATGTTATTTATGTACAAGATGCTTCTTCAATCATTCTTCTCTCGAAATCGTAATCATGGAAGAACGCGTCGTCCTTTTTCTCTTCTTTTTCCTCTTCAATTATCGCTTTTACGTTTCCATTTATCGGAATATCGTCATTCTTTTCAATTGAAATGCTTCTTTGTTTAGCTTTGGCCATTGATCGCGGAATTTTTCTCGGAAGCACAGACGATTCTTTTGAAGTGAATTCACGCGAAATACGCCAGACTCGAATAGTGCTGTCGTCGGAACAACTGACCAACATTGTCGGGTCTTTCGGATTCCATGTGACAGCATTAATTGGCGCTGTATGACCACGAAGTCTGAGTTTTGGACGACAATCGTCAATGTCCCAAATGCAAATGTGACCCTCCGTGCTAGCATCATCGTTTTCAATAGTCCCATCTAAATACAAATTAGTAACTCGCAAACATCCTATTTAAAAAATTACCTCCAATTGTTCCAGTAGCAATGAAACCATTATGAACACCGCCAAAAGTCGCATGAATCACAAATCGACAAACCGAATTTTGTTGACAAGCACCCGAGAAATATCGAATTAATGTTCTCGTCTTGAGATCCCAAAGACGAAGGTTAAGGCTAGTTGTGGTAAGTACGAGTCTGGAATTGCTGCATTTAACAAACCATTCAACTAAAATAAATACCTTTCAGATTCGTGCACAGTAAATGTGATTATAGTAGCTTCTTCAGTGATTAATGTGAACTCAGTGTTATCATCAACATAATACACTCGGAGTCTGTACAATTAATCGACACTTGTTGAAAACCATAAATATGTAACATTGTATACCGATTATGACTATCTGAAGCTAAGATTCGTCGCCCATCGCTGAATCCATAAACGCATCGCACACGGAATCCGGTGATCGATTTTACAACGCTAGTTTCTTCAGGAAGATTGAGGTTCTATGAACAAATAAATTCAAATGTTTTCTATTATTAACATTCTCACATAAACTTTCATTGTTCCATGCTCAGTGGCAGCGATCAGAAGACGTTTGTTCGGTACGGAAAAAAATGCGCAGCAAGTGTAGAATATCTGAGTTGTTGGTGACATGTCTTCTGGATTCACGCGAAGAATACGGTAGACACTTCGAGCGTATACGTTGTAGATTGTGAGCTGTAAAAAAACACTACGAATTCGAGCAAGCCTCTGTTCGAATGCATTTTATTACTGAAAATTTTTGAAATCAACTTACATGATATTTACTGTGTTGCGCATTTCCGCAAACGGCAATGAACTCATTATCGGCACTCCATTCAATCAAAGCAATCGATCCATCACCGGACGAGTCGAGTTTTGCGCATTTGGCAAGTTTTCCATTTTCGACATTCCATAATATAATGTTATTTGCTGCCGATCCACTAGCCAACATTTTTCCGTCTCCCGAGAACTTTGCAATCCATACATCGCTGTCATGGTCCGTACAAACCTAAACAGGTTGAACAATTCAAAAGAATCGCATGATAAAACAATACCTGCACACATTTCGGCTTCTTTTTTCCTACTTCAGAATGGCGACATTCGTCTCGTAAAAGCTTTGGTGCCAGTTTGCGAACTTCGAACGGATTATTCAAATCGGGTTTGCCTTGAACTGCAACAAATATACAAATGTCTTTAAGCCCTTACGATTGAATTACCGGAAGTAAGAAGAGACTTGAGACGATTCGCTGGAAGCATGAAACTCGTAGGTAACAAACTTTGAATAGCTTCAAGTTGTCCAGATCGTAATTCTTCTTCTCTGTAATTTTCAAAGACATTTTGATACTACATATAATAAAATATATCAGTCTTACGTGAAATCATATTCCTTTCCTTTTGAAGAAATTAATTCCTTGACATAAGCCGTCAAGACATTGTTTCTCACTTTGTCCTCATCCTCGCCAGTCATTTCTCGCAAAAAGTGAACTGCTTCCACAAGTTGTTTTCTCCGCAAAAATGAACCTAATTCGAAGCATTGCAAGTAGAAGATTGCCTGATCGGCGTCTTCGCGAGGTATATATTTCGGACAACATTTCTCAATTGTCGCAATCGCACTTTTGTATTTTCCGTTATTTATGAAGCTGCGGAGTTTAGCTGCATTGCTGTTTTCGACAGTACATCCAGTTTCTTCAACAATCTTGTCAACACTTTCTCTATAATATTAGATAATATTTTACAGAAGACACATGATTATATTTATAACTCAATAGTCCATTTAAATAGAGCATTTTGTAAAAAATTGTTTTAATGCGCTGAAAGAAGACTCACTTCAAACCCAGGGTATTCAAGAATTGAGCCACAATTCTTATAGTCGATTGATCATATTCGTTTAGCCCCATTGCGGAATTTCGAATATCGCCTTCAGCGACTTGATCGATTACACCATCATCACTCAATTGTGCTTCATCTTCATCATCTTCATCATCATCAACTTGTCGGGTGTTTCCGGTTTTCGACTAAAATCCATATTTGTGTTCATACTTGCTTATGTAATTAAAATAATTAAATATCACGAATTGTTTGTCTTCAAATAAAACCGAAATGATTTACCTTTTGTAATTGTTCGAACAGTTTGGTTAAAAACCTCATTCATTAATATATAAATCAATACACATAAACTGGAGCCATTATAGAATGCACGAAAAATAAGAACACCACAAAGAATTGGATGAAACCTTGCTCCAACTCCTACGCTTTCTAATTAATTGGAAAATGTGTCCATATGCGACAATTTTTTCGTACGTCTCGTTCTAATAATTATAATACTAAATAGAAAAATCGATGAAAACGCGTATTTAGCAATGTAAATGAACTTTAAGTGCAGTAACTGCCCTTTGAGAACAGTGCAATAAAAGAACTTTGTGTGAGCAATTTTGAAACGATGGAAAATAAAATAAAAACTATATTTTGCAGAATCTAAACCTTTTTCTCAAAAACCTTCTGTCCAAACTTCACCATTTAATTTAAATTGCGTTTAAATTATTAAAAACCAACGTTGACATATATGTTCTATTATAATTAAAACAGTTTTTTTTAAGTAAAACATTTTTGAAATTGATACCAATAATTTTTTTTCATGATATTTTAATCTTTTGACGATATAATGGATTTTTAAAGGGAAGCTATTAATTTTGTATAAACAATAAACTGAATTATCCTTCGCTTTCTTGAATATAAAATGCTGAAGTATTTTGTTAAAATGTTAAAAACCTTACGTTTTGACACATTTTGAATCTCTCCGCAACTGTCATATTTACTGTTAACACTTGGTTGTTTCTCTTCCGCTTTGTTGAATTCTTATCACCTTTTTGAGACCCAACACTCGAGCTCATTCTGCATTTTATTTATCAATTAATTTCAATTATTTTTCGGATATACTCACCTGGCTCGCTTGCGTGTCGGGGCGTTAGGCTCCTCCGATGAGCCGGAACGATGCTTATTCAGTGTGCGCACCACTTTGACTCGATTAAAATATCCACAAAAATAATAAAATACAGGAGTATACGGGGATGGTATTTAGATTACCGATGAACCTTTACCTTGTTTCATCGAAACTTTCGGAATTCTAAAAAACCTCTGTAATGTCGGTGAGCTACTCAGCTGATCGCGCTACCGATGGAACTCGTGTTGTGACCAATCAGAGAACGAACGCGCGCTAGAGACACAGAGAGATGAAGAAATTTAATGAAAATGAGAAGGAGAAAAGAGACAGACGAGTTGGAAAATAGTTTGTAGGCGTTGGTGCGAAATGTGGAGGAAACGACGAGACATCGCATATCATTGGGAGGGCTTCGATTAAAAGGGCGAAACGCCGGAGGAGAAAATGGGTGCGTCTGACGCGTTCATAACGGAATTGTAGATCAATGACTGTAAACTAGGTTTTCTTTCAACAGATAAAGTTCTGGAAAATGATTACAATTAAAAAATACGATTAATTGCAAAGCAGGAATGCAAAAAATGAAATCGGTACAGAAATTAAATATTAGCGAACCAATTTTTTAAAGATTTCTTAATTTTACTATTAGCATCACAAAAAAAGCACCCTAGATATTTACGGATTGTTTTCACATTTTTGTGAATTCACGTAAATATCTCTAAATAGTGGAAATTAATGTACCGTGCGGAGAGCCTGAAAACGGAGGACGGAACAATTGAAAAAAAAAACGGAGGACGGAACAACAAACGCCAGATACCTCCGAATAATTCCGTGTTTTGTTTCATTAGTTTCGAAACTTGCAATTAAATTCACACAGCACTTTTGGGAATGGTGCATTTTTTCGTAACAGTGTATGCACAACTTTCAAAAAAAAAGGAGGGAGGAGGAGGGGGAAATATATTTTTTTTTTCGTATTCGTCGATAAATGAGAAATTTTGGGAGAAACAGTTATAAAAAATACAAAAATTTGAATGTTTTCCTCAATACGGCGAAACAGTGTAATCAGCGCCTTTCGTCAAGACCAAAAAAATACTGTTTCGCGTGATGAGTTATATGAGCTACTAGAAATGATTTTTGGTGGCCGAAATAATACGTAAAGTGTCGCAACATTTTTTGACGGAACTCGGAACATCACAGTTGCGAAATTGCGTGTCGACCCGTCTTCGATCAGCAACGACACTTAAAATTTACGTAGGAAGACGGAATTCTGTGGAGTTATAATGCGAATTAAACTCTTGCTGGTATATATAAATGACAGTATTTAAATAAGGTGCTCGTTTGATTTGTAATATATAATCCACATAATTTTCTCACAATTTCACATAATTTTTATTGTAGAAATCGCAAAAAATCGGAAAAATCGACAGATGGTCACGGGGCGAAGAGTAGCGCCTTGCATAATTGTGGACCATCAAATTTTTTGAGGCAAAAATTTAAAATTCGAATTCAAACGAATGTCGATAATTGTTCAATGTGCTCGTTTTTTTGCGATAGTAATATTTATTACATAATATATTTATATTTCCTTCAGTATCAATCTTGTCAATTTAATTTTCTGTAAAGTTTTCGTTAAAACGAATCAACTTTTGTACCAAACATATGGAAATATTGATTTTCGAGTTCACTGCAAATCAAACTCCAATCACAGGCGCCTGCCTGTCACAATTTTAATTTTATCAGTGTATTTTCTAGGCTTGCCAGAGTAGTTTTCAATTCTTTTAGTTTAGCTGATTTTGCTTAAAATTCTCGAAACTGTCCAACGAATACTAAAAATGTTTTATTTATATTGAATGTCGATTGCAGACAACTAATCGAATTTTTAAAAAATTGGCTATTTGCCAAGGTGTCTCGAGGCAAAGAGAACTGTGCGTACTTTCCATATCTAATATTCAGCCAACTAAACTTAAAGAGTCGGGGCAAACTGTGTTAATCTAAAAATAGGCTAAACACAGTTAAGCAATAAAAAAAATAATGAACTGAATTCGACGTTAATTCGTCGCTGAGAAAATCGATCGCGAAGTAGACAACGTTAAATAAAATGCATTGTCCGCAATTATTTCAATTTTCGATTTTTTTCGATATTCCTGTGGCCGTATAGACAATGTGATTTTTGCGGGAAATCATATCTCTTAAACTTATGGTTTTCGCATTGTGCGTTGAGCCCCGGGCATTTTTTTCAAGTGAATAATATTTTTTTAATCCTTCGTGAAAATTTTAAAAAATCACTTTTAAAAAAATCCTTCGTTAAAACATAATTCTGAAAACAGCTTAAAATTCCAAAAAAAAATTTACTTTTTAGTTAAATGCTGAAGTATGTCAAAAAAAATAAAGTGCGGCGAGACGAAGCGAGCACTTCAATTAATAACAACGACAACGAAACGAAGACGAAATTAACGAAAGACATGATTTCTCTCCCAACTTTGATGTATGTATTTTCAAATTTGAACCTATTACATTCAAAAAATAACGAGCACCCTGTGCCGATTTATTGTGAATTAGCTTCGCATGTTATCCGAGTACGGTATCCGAATTAACTGTTTGAATTCAAATTTGAATTACCGCCACGAAGAAGTGCGATGGCCCCCAATTATGCAAGGCGCTCGTTTTTTGTGATGGCAATATTTATTAATAAAAAAAATATTTCAGGTCTCATTTCGGAGTCAATGACAATGGACAAATTATATCTAACTTTAGAGAAAATATTCAAATTAATGATAAGTATTTGCAAAATTTACACAAACATCCTTATTTGAAGGTAAGATGACATTATACCTTTTCATTTTCGTTTTGTAGACGTTTTCGATTTCACCTCGAGTTCCCTATAGTGATGTTAATCTCAACACTCAAAGCAATGGTGAGCCATCTTGATCATAAATGAAAGGGGAGGGGGGGGGTAACAGCAAAAATCATAAAAGATATCCTAGAAACTAGAGAAAAGGCAAAAATGATTATATTTCCTTATCCTGCATTAAAAGTTTGTGTATTTTTTCTTTTTTATTTTTTCTGCATTGATCCTTACATGCAGAATTTTATTTCAGAAAGAAAATCCCGTACTCTTCCAAACCGAAATTTATGTAAGTTTTCGATTACTGAAATAGATAGATACATGTTCATAATGCACACAAATCTTGAAGATTGTGAATTTAATAATTCGTCCATAAAATTACGTGAACCGATCCCAAAGAGGCCCGATCGAATCGACTCGTATGATTCAACAACTTCTTCCAAAAATGATGTTTCATTTGGCAGTAAAATCCCTTGTATGCAACGGTAACATTTTTGAATTAATTAATACCCAAAGATTGCTTGATTTTCAGGTTCCAATCGTCCCGGATATTAAATCTGAACACCAGGTTAAATACGTTCCTCATAAATATGCAACATTGCCGGTAAGCGAAAAGGCGATTATTACTAATATTATTTTCCACTCTTGGACTTTAACGTATATTTTATTCTATCATCTTTTCTGGTCACACAAAAGAAAATATTGTGAGTTATGCTGTTTCAGAGTACAACTCGTAACGGTGTAATAACAATTGGGTCAATTGAAGTCCCAATACCCCCAGCTTGTCGACCTCCACCGACAACAACATCAGTAACAGCATCTGGTTGCCTAGAATTAACCGACGTTTCATCTGTGAGCTTTCTTGGAAAAGAAATCGAAAAAGAAGACTCTAAAGACATTACATCTGAATTCATCGAGTTTCAAAAGAAGATGGAGGTTTGAATGAACTCGACTAAATGTTTTTTTTAATTGAAAGGTTTAGGCTCTTATTGAGAATAAGACTAGTAGCATGAATGAAATTATCCAGAACACTGCAAAACAAGAGACTCTTAAAATTGTGAAGCACATTTTGAGAAAAAGAGGATCGCTAGATTTGAAGAATAACAATGGCGGTACATTCAATAAAATTTTTCTCATAACAACCATCACTTTTAGAAATTGAAGCTCATATTTTTGATGACGATTCAAATTTTTCGAATCATAAAACTCGAAACAACGACGAAGATGAAGTTTATGAACATTTGTGATTACAATTCATGACGCATATTTTTTGTATTCCATGCAATCTGGAGGCTGAACCTCAACCTTTCGCGACTTTATGTCTTCCCAATTCGTCGACAACACGGTACCACCAGATTCTCTAAAAAAAAGTCGTAACAGAAACTTTTTTATTCAATAATTTTCTTACTGATAGCTTTTGATCATCGCTTTTTTGACGTCATCTGATGCATTTTGATATAATGTTTTAAACCAATGATTCGTTGCCTCATCCCCAACAGTTTTCTCTTGTTCTTCCTCTTGAATGGCAGCCTTTAAATTATATATGGACTTTGGCGATTTTTCAATGGTTAATAAAAACTAACTTTTTCAATGGCATCCCAATTTTTTTTGAAAAATGTCGGAGTTTCGGTGATGGGTCCTGGTGCCATCATTGCTCCCGTTGGTGCACATTCAGTGGACGCTAAAAGTGATGTCCAACGTTCGCCACGAACTTTCTTCGGCATTTTAAGTTCAATCTGAAAAACAAACCACTTGTTTTCTTATTAATTTTAAAACTTTTTAGACGATAGGCTAGCAGTCAGATACCAGGATCGCTTATGGGCTTTAGTCATCGCGACGAGAAGAATCTCGCCGCTAACACTCGGCCTAATGCCACTCTATGCGAGTGGCTCATCATTCTGCTGTGGGGTTCGATCACATTTTCGTTGTGCGACAAACATAGCACCTTGGCAATACACCATATGGTGCGCGTGTAATGTGACTTTCTGAGTCCTATGAACATATTTAGTAGGTAGGTGCAGAAGGGTACATGTTTCAAGGTGTTATTCGGCGAATAGACGATTTTAATAACAATTCAAAAATGTTTCCGAAGACAGGCAACTGTCAGAAATTCAACCGGTTTAGTATTAATAAGGTATTGTTTCTTGGTGCGATATTAACAGTTTTTGCAAGCGTTTTTTACGAATACTATCCTTTTGCAAACGGTTTATACGCAGCTAAAGCGAAAATTAATGCGTGACCAAACGGCCTTGTTTAATTTTTTACGCTCCGCCCCCCAGGAAGCCTTCGGCAATTGTAAAGTATACCTTTGATGGAGTGCATTTTACAACGAAATGGTCTTTGTCCACCTCGCTGAATAATACATCCGTGAACAGAACCTCATCATTTTGTTGGACAGTCAACCTGCGATCCGAATAAGTTACAATACATTCCTCGAGAGGTACACCCTTTTTGAGGATATTGAGTGCGACCTCCGACTCGCTCTGGAACCAGTCAAACCTAAATTATATGGAGTAATCTCATGCAATTTGATTGCAAACTTACTTCGGTTGTCCTGGCATTCGATGAACGCAAAAAGTTAATCGTTTTCAAATCTGGAATTTCTTAGTGTTAATTAAAAAAAAAACAGAAATCTTAGGAAGTATTCAAAGGTGAACAACCTCTAAGAAAACTGTATAGAATTACAATTTAAAGTCATAATTTATTCAGGTTTAAAACAATACCGGATGAAGGAAATAGAGAATAATTTAGGGATAAGGAAAATTGTAGAGTATATCGATAGGAAAGAGATAAGACATTCAAATCGTAATAAATTAAAACTGCATTAGAGAGTTCCGAGGTGATCCTTGACTTGTTGCTTTGTAAGTCTGTGAAATCCGGAAGCATTGCAGATGGCCACTTCGACGTTGTCCTCATTCATGCCGACGTCGAACGATTCTCTGAGTGTAAGAAGAGACGTGTGGATTCCATCATCCAACTCAAGAGAGTCGCTGAATCTTTTCTCAAGGAACGTCTTCGCATTAACATCGTTCTTTCCAAGAGCAGTTGCTTTCCAGGCAAAATATGCACCCTTAATATTTGTACTATTTAATTAACATTTTATTTCAAATATACAGATGGATCCGATTGAAAGAGAAGAGGTCTTCCTGGGTTCTTGTCCCATCCCGCGATCAACAACGATACTCCGAATGGACGGACTCCTCTGAAAGAATTACACAATACTATGATTAATTGGCTTATACAAATACCCCGATTGTGTGTATTCTTGCATGATTTCAGCAAGGTTCGTAACCAATTGAGTCGTTGGCATCTCTTCTCCATACATCATTTCATATTCGATAGCAAGCTTACGCGCTTTCTTGACGAGAATGCGGAAGTCTGGTCCCATACCACTGAAAAAAATCCTTTTGAATGCATCGAAACAAAATCGTCAAACCTGTAAACGCAGCCAATGTACTTGCTGATTTGCTCGATTTTTGGTTGTTCGTCATACAAGACTGATGCTACGTTTTCTGTAGCGAGCACGACGCCATCCTTAGCTGAAATTAAGACTTGAAATTCAATTCAAATTTAGCGCTACCTCTCAATCCAACCGAAGGTTGTCCATTCTTCACGGCATTAAGCGCATACTCAATTTGCATGAGCTTTCCTGACGGACTGAATGTGGTGAGTGAGAATCCATAGTGATCACCCATAGTTCCGCAATCCTACGTATATGATTTTTTTCAAAAATTATTTACAGCGACAGAAACTATCAAGCATGGAATTTATCGGCTTACCTTAAGGGAATCAAGAAATAGAGGACACGAACTACATATTAGCGCACAGGACAATAGAGATACGATATTTTTTAGTATCTATGCTATATCTGTTATTTTTTGTTTTAATAATGAGAGAAAACGCAAGCGAAAAGTGTGGAAATTGCTGGAAAACGCGAGAAAGCAAAGAGGAAAATGAAAATTGTCATCAATTTTCGTTCGAATTTACCGTGTCCGTAGAGCGCACTTGCACCGCATTATCATCATGGTTTTTAAACAAAATATTCTTAACTTCTGTTTCTTTTTTTTTTTTCAAAATTTCACGGTTTTTTTTCATGGCAAACTTTAGCTTACGATGAAAATTAGGCAACACATCTGACCAATGGGAAAAAGTTCGTCTTTTGCTGATTTGTTTTAGTACTTGTTCTTCTCAATTGTTTTTCACGACAGCTTATGCACAATGGCATTTTGAAATATCATTCAATTTCACAATAATGAGAATCACGAAGTTGTTATTCAACCGGATTCGTGAATTTAAAGGTAAATTCCTTTTTTGGTTAAGAGATAATAAGTTTTTCAGAAGCTAAAAGGATAAACTTGTCATTTAGTGGATGTGGTTTCTTAGGAGCTTACAACTTTGGAGCTGCATATTGTCTTTTCACAGAATCTAAAAACCTCATCTCACGAGTTGATCGTTTTTCTGGAGCGTCAGCTGGTAGTCTTGTAGCGGCATTATGTGCATTAACTCCAGAAAAGTAAATCGATGCATCTTAATGGTTATTTAAGCTAATTAAATATAATTCCTTTCAAGAATTGATTCTGCTATTGAAGCTCTTTATTCAATTGGCGATGAAGTGCACTCGCTACCACTTGGAGCTATGACCCCTGGATATTATATAAGCGAAAGTCTTTTGAAGGTTTTTTTTCCAAAATAAGAAAAAATCTAGCATTAGATGAATATTGAAGCATATGATCAACTTCTTGCCAGAAGACGTCTCCCCAGCTCAAAATAAGCTTTTTGTTTCCGTGACAAAATTAAACGTATGCTTCAAATGTTTGACTCTTTTTGAAATTGAAACCAACATTTGTAGCCAGTGAATAATGTGCTAATCAATAACTTCGATGATCGAAACCACCTAATGGACGTACTCCTAGCCAGTTGTTATATACCATATTATTCAATGGGATATTCAGGATCTGCTCCTTTAATAGACGGAATAGTTCGTTATTTTTTGCGCCGTTTTGCTAGTAATTGTTTTCAGCCATGCGTTGATGGGGGCTATAGCAACAATTTACCAATCTTCGACGGGTTTTCAAATATTACATGTTCTCCATTTTCCTGCCTCGCTGATATCTGCCCTTCGGATTCAAATAATAAATTTTTTCCAACAGCCACAGTGACTCTGGGAAATCAATTGTTCAAGGTACTGCTACCATTAAAATTTTGAAATAATTGATTCATCAGGTCAACTATTTGAATATTATCCGAGGAACGAGGGCGCTTTTTCCTCCTAATCGGCAAGTTCTTTCGGATTATTACAAAATGGGCTACGAGGATGCGCATAGATTTTTGAAAGAAAATGAATTAAATTGATTTATTGAGCAAATTTATTCCTTGCAATTAATGTCTTCTCCTTCCACACTAACGAAACTTTTGCTCGTCAGAATTTCATTATTTGGAGATTTGAGCCATGGGCGGTGCCAAAGGTCCAAAGTAACACGCTGCAATTTATATTTTTTCTGTAAATATTCGTTAAAATCTTACGGCTTTCGGACTTCCTTCTACATATATGCAGTCTTCCTTCTTCAACTCGTTAATGTCGTTACCCTCAAATGTTCGAAATAATCAATATTTAAAAAATTTCTCGCAATAAACCTGTTTCCGGCAGTTAGATTCTCCAACGAGAACAGTGAAAATGAAGCGGGCGCCGGCTACTGGCAGCTCTTTTTTGTTTTCAATCTGAAAGTCACAACTTCTTGTTCGTTTGTTTTTTTTTAATTCGAAAAAAACCTCGATCGGCACGAAATAGTTTTCATGCGCACACATGTTCTCATCAATGAGTTCATTGATGTCAGCGATTTTGTGGAATACTAAATCCTCATCGGGAACTATTTTGTGAAAAACGGCGGAGCCTCTTCCAGTTGGACGTCCACTGCATTGAACACCCATCACGAGAAATTGAACACCTATCACCACGAATACGAAATATTTCAGCATTTTGTTCACACTGTAAATAGAAAAATAATAAAACGAAATCGTATAAAAATAGGAAAATTTTATGGGAGGAAATGAGGAAGAAACGAGACAATAGAGATGAAATTATCGATTTGGTTGGAAACGACCAAATGAACGTGTCAAATTCGAGAGTTTGCATCGAGCGTCTGCTGTCGAATCAAACGCCGTCTCGTGACCTCCATTTTCAATTTGGAGCCGAGTAGAGCAATCGCTTTAGTTTTCAGCTCGTGTTCCTGGAAAATGAGAACGCTATTTCTTCTTACCGCTGTTCTGTTTTATATGCGTCGAATCGTGCGAAAATTATTATAAAAATGTTATAGCGTACTGTACGATTGTTTTATAAGTTTAATATATAAAAATGAATCATACGGAACAAAAGAGAAAAAATAATTAATTTTCTAAAAAGAAGAATTCTCTTTTGGAATTTTGGAAAAACATTGTGTTCTAATGAAAAAAAATTACAAGAATTTATATATTGGTGCATTTGTTATTTTTTTGAAATTCTTCGGGAAAAAACATTAATTAAAGAAAAAATTAAAGCAAAATGTCCTACCCTCTGTTTTTTCCGCAGTATCTGACGCCTCTCCTCCCGCTTCTTCTCTTCTTTGGCTTCTCGAGCTTCAAGTTCCTGAGTTTCACCACGTTCTCCATCTCCTCTACCAACAACCACATAGCTCCGAACTTGCTTATTCATTCCCGTCGGACGAGTGTACCGCAAAAGATGCATTTTTCGAGTTTTCGGTGACAAACTCATTTCGAGCATCAAAATGACCTGAGCCCACTATAATCAATAAATGAGGAAAACATTGAAGCGGATGCAAACAAAAACCTGTCTTTTCCACTCTTTCCTAGTTAAGAATATTGTTTCATAGGTTCTTGTCATCATAGCAATCAGAAGATTGAATTGAAGGATTGACACAAAAATTTCAAAAAACAGAAACATCACTTTTCCTAAGTTTCGCATCAAGACGCCATCACAAGCAGCCATTTCGCGATAAAGCACCGAAAATTCACCAATGGTCATGATAAATGTTCGTAAGAGCGCATCAATCGGATTCTGAAAAAAATTTATTTCAAGGAAAATTATTCAATTACCCACTTCCATTATATTCGTAAATTCCGACTTTGTGGGATCAATCCTGTTCATTTGAGCTGCGGACCGTTCGCACGACGTGAAAATCACATAGAACGCTAAAAGAATCATTTATTTTCAATTTTATAACTGAAAATATGAAACATTGGGAAAATCCAATGAGAAAAATCGAATAAATCATGGCGAATCGTACTAAATCGGTGGCTATTATAGTGTAAACCATTAAGACAAAGGGTCCCACAAATGGAATTGCTCTGAATGATTTAAAAATAACACATAGAAAATAGTAGAATCAACCTCATAAAATATAGGAAATGTTGAGTAACAAGTATAACACTTATGATGGCCAGTGTATTGTCGAAAGTGAGAAAATTCTAGAGATAACGGTTAAACAAATGAAAAGCTTATATGTAGACTTACCTCATGCAAAGAACACGATAATCTACACGGAACGGCAAGGAGAATGAATAAGAACGAGAATTTGTAGCAAAGTTTTGCCGGAAAGGCTTTCAGAAAATTGAACCATTTTTGAAATCCGATTCTCTTAATATCACCGATATCGAAAAATGTTTGGAAGATTATCAGAACAATAGTGGCACATTCACAGCCGAGACGAAGCTGAAAGCATTCAAATTCACGCTGAAATATTCGAAAAACAAAACACAACGAACCCATCCATAATACCAAGGCCATTGTGAATAGTGAAGCAAGTGGCATTGTGTTTCGGTGGAATCTTAATACATTTGTTTTTATATTTGAAAAATATATTTAAAATTTGATTTTTTACGCCATTCCAAGAAATTTGACGAATTCTTTGTTTCGGTTTCTCCATCGTCATTTATTCTCCCTTTTGTCAAATGCTAGAAAATGATGTTTGAACAAATTGTAGTATTCGATAACGAACTTCCGTAGTTGCTGAAGACGGCCTCAGCATGTAGGCTGTTGTGAAGCAACAATAAAATATAAGAAACATAAATAATGATCGAAGCCACAGTTTTTTGCCATACGCTTTCCATTTTTCATCAAGAATCTGTTCAATTAATCCATCCATCAATTCCAAGTGTTGAGTTGTTTCCTAAAAAACTATATTATATGTATAATTAGCGATTTTGCATTACCCCATAAACTACAAGGGAAAGTGCGCTAGTGTCATTCATTTCTCCAGTCAATTCATCGATTGTATCAATTTTTGTTAGCGGATAAGCAACGCATTGAGAATTCCCATATGTCCACACTTTTTCGCATTCCAGTTGGAGAATTTTATCAAAAATCTTTAAATGCAATTATTCCAATTAAAATTGAAAAGTGAGAAAATTATGATTACCGATTTCTTTGCAAGACGGGCAGCTAATGTGAGAGCTGTGAGATTTTGTTTATTCGCAATTCGAAGATTCCCGCCAGCTTCAATTATCGCGTCGAGCATGTCCTTTAAGCCCAAAGTCTTAATTGCTCGGTTATATTTTATACCATTTTGTTGTGAATGACGCACAAATGCACCACAGTGTTTCCATTCGTATCCTGAGCATTCATATTGGCCCTTTTGGCGAGCAACATTCGCACCAAATCGTGTTGTCCCATACAAATTGCAAACGAAAGCGGAAATTCGCCAAAGTACATTGATCTGAAGAAATTCAATCATTTCGTTCGACCCATGAGGGTGTCGTGTTCACCCTGTGTAATTTGTGTTTTTCGATAACTCGACAAATTCATGCTCAAGACTATCCGTTCGGCTCGCTTTTTGGTCTTCGGCGCAGAAAAATGCTCCGTAGCATCTACATATCATTATAATTTTGGATGTTAGTATAAATATGAAAATCGAATGGTACCGCTGGTTTAAATCGGCTCCCATTCTCAAAAGATATGAAACGAATGGAGCATCGTGGTTGATAATTGCTAGGTGCAACGGCGATAATCCTGAAGACTTTTTTGATTTTAAAAAATCTGCATAAGAAGCAACCATAATAATCCTCGGAAACGCAAATATCGTTGACAAGTTTCGGATAAAACGCGATAAGTCTTTTCACAATTATGTTATGAATTTCGGTTCCTTGTATTAGACAAATCGCCACTAAATTCTCTCCCATCGATCCTCTTTCATCCAATTTCCAACAAATTTCGCGATATTTCGATTCGGATTTGCCGCCTTTTCCACCGCCGTCCAACAATTTCAATGCTTTTTTCAAATCGCCCATTTCCGCTTGGCCTTGATCGAACTCATCCAGAATGTTCGGCCCACTTTTTCCTTTTCCTTTCTTTCGAGAAAATGCCCCGAGTTTTGCGTTTCGTTCCTTAAAATTAAGCAAGCTGTTTGATGTGCAAACAAATCGAATAAACTTTGTTGCGAATTTTGACGAGCTCAGCCACCGGCACCAATTTTCCTTTTCCGGAGTTGTAGAGATATTTGCGAATCTCCTGGTCGATATAGGCATCAAGCATATTCATCGAATTCATTTCTTTGCACGTCCTGAAATCACTAGCGATTCCATAATGTTTCATGTCAATACTGAATTTTCTTAAAAGAACCGTTAAAAAAGATTTCACAAAAAACCCGAAATACCAAATAGAGAAAATGTGATCAATAAAAAAATCATTTTATCTGAAAATCAAAGTTAAGCTTCAGCCTTGTTCAAAATCGATAAACTACGGGTTGGAACATATTGGTTCATCAAAATTATTGAATCGTAGTATTTCTGATTACCTGGCAAGTCGAATAAGCGATCCTCCGCCATGCATGTCAACCAGCTTGTAGATATTTCTGTTCTCAGATATCGTATTGGCCGCATTCGCATCAGCTCGCGCATCATTTGGCGTCACTTTTGATGCAGAACCACCCATGAGTGGAAGATGAGCAAAAAAATTTAAAAAGAGCCAAGCAACCTGAGAAAAATGAGCAATAAAATCGGGTGTGTAATGCGTGTCTCCGATTGTCATGAGATCTCCTCATTTGTATTTGAGATTGTATCCGATTTACGAGACAAATTGTCTTTTCAGTAACAATTTCTTCCTTCTCTTATTCATCTTTGCTTGAATTGCTTTCTTTTTTTTGCATGTTTTTGAAGGGAATGACCGGCTAGCAAAATGTCTTTTTTTTCTCAAAGTCTGATTTTATCAGGATAGCAGTTATAATTAATAATACAATATGTATAGTCGACAAAAATGAAAATTTTTGATTGAATTTGGTTTCTTCTTTGGTGAAAAAAAAAATTAAAAGCGATGTTAAGATAGCTTCGAGACCAATTATAGTCGGCGTCCGGACAGTTGTATATAGGTACGGGCGTAGGAACAGTAATTAAAAAATACACGTGAAAAAAATAATTGTCGAAAGAAAGACGCACCCGATTACAGAAATCGCCCGACTATACTTATTTTTTCAGCGGCGCAAAGAATTGAACAATAATGAAAAACAAAACTATCGAATTGAATATTCGATAGAAATTTTTTCCAAATATTTCATTCATTCATATACAAACACAATCACTTGTGGATACAATCATTTATTAATATCATCAGCATCGTTTTCCCTTCTTAATCCATTTCTCCGATTTGTTCAAATGCTCGACTTCTTTCCTATTTTCTTTGTTAATTATCAACAATCTATAAGTCGTCGGCATCAACCAAGCAGCCTCATTTGCCAGTCTATGAATAGCAATGCGCATTTAAAACAAGCATATTCAACCATTCGCCTACTTTATATGGTAGTAGCCGGCCTCTTCGCAAGTATAATCGAACAAATCCATCGACGGAAGTCCACATTTCGGAATTGCGGCCACTGCGAGCTCCATATTACTCTCGTCCACATTCTTTTTAGAAAATCGTTGAAAATGTGCGTATTTGTTTTGCTGAAAATCCACTTACCATTTCCTTCGAATAATACAACGTTATCGTGATATCACTCTCATTATGCGAATACATCAACAGTTCAGTATTCGGTTTGTCGATTTTGTAAACAAGAATCCGATGTTTTGCTGAAACGAACACCTATACGACTTGTCATTCTAATATTAGCTCACATGCTGGAATTGAGATTCGATGAAGAGTGTCGATATGCGGGTATCCAGCACGTGGTTTCCAGTATAAATCGCGAGGTACCGGTAGAACTTCGCTGAAATTCAAGTAAATGCTATCAACTTTCGAAAACAGAATTATTTTTGATAAACTTTAAATAAACGCATACTCAATATACTTATTGTTGCATAATTTGCCTCCGTATTTTTCCGGCAAATAGTCTATATCACAAATTTCGGCCAATTCGCTTTTCCAATTTGCACCAGCAAACACTATTCTTCTCTTTGACTGTTCGGGAATGAATGGAGCAAGAGCTGACCTGAAAAACAATCACTAAGTCTTCTAAAATATTTTTTTGAATTCAATTACCATAAAACATTGATAAAACTCGGAGAATTGACGACAATAAACTTATCGATAAATTCGCGATAATGTTGGCCAACAAGCTGCCATGACACCCTGAACGGACCATTGACAACACCCAAAAGGCTCGGGTCGAAATGGAGTCCATCGAGATCAAATATATAATGCATATAACACTGTTTGCCAGTCTCCTCTTCCATCTGCAAACATCATCTGATCGGTTGTTCGTATTGTGTGTGGCATAAGACCTTCATAAGAATTCGCTGAACATTTTCGAATAGTCTGTACATCTCATGTAGGTATTCTGTCGGTTGGACCGCCTTCATAACTCCTCCAATATCAATCCGTCCGGCCTGGTCCACAACAATCAGTCGGTCTCCGTCTTTCCGATGCGGCCCAATGATGTTAACCGGCGCGTATTTCGCGCGAACCTCGCTTCTTTGTAGCAGAGATTGGCTTTCCGGCTCATCGAGTCTGCGCGTGTTTTTGCGATGAACTTGAATGCGTTTCCACATGCACTTACCGTCGCTCTTTTCTCCATTTAAGGTGTTTCCGCAACATGTAAACCGTTTTTGGAATACTGAAATCATTGGATTGTAGCCAGCGAAGAATGTTGAATTTGGTGTCGTAGCGAGGATCGATCACATCGCGGACTTGCATTCGAACCTGCGGAAAAAAATTCTAACAATAACATATTAGAAGATTGTTATTACTTAAAATTCTCGTGGTAATTAATTCTAAAAGGCGTAAATTTAAGCGCTCGTAGTATAATTACATTTATTTCATGAGGTTTGAATATCTGCCGCCCTGCCGTTGTTTGAATTTGACGAAGTAAAATAGATGAAAATGGAAGGAAATAAAACAAGAACAGTAATAATTCGTTATTTGGTGGCGGAGATTCAATTTTAGTTTTCTTTTCTCTCAAATATTTATTCAGGTCTGTTTGATAATGAAAAGCACACAATTAAGAAATAACATTTGAATTGAAATAGTATTATTACCTGCTCAATCGCTGAATCGTTCATATCTTCAATTTCGGCTTGAGTGGGACAGTTGGGCGCCATTCGGAAGTGATGTCTGAAATTCTGAAGCGAAGCGTTTATTGCGGTGAGGAGACAAGAAAAAGAATGATGAAGCGGGTAGGTGATGGAGAAGAAGAACATGAAAATGAGAGATGAAGCTGGCTGAAAACTGGTTTATGGTCGACTTTGACTTTGAAACTGTTACCAATTTAGTTGGATTGAAGGACGACTAGAACTTGGTGATTGTTGATATGAATTCGAATAGCAGACAGAGAACAAGAAAATAAACAATAGAAGAACGTTTTGTTTCGTTATTTTAAACTTGAGTATTTGCATTGTGTAATAATTTTGAAAAAAATTTCAAAGAGCTGATCGAAATGATTGTTTTCTTTTTTTTTTGAAATATCGCACAGTTGAACAGTCGGCCAGCATCGCTCATTTTCAACAAAAACTGAACTTCTCGTTAGTCGACTTTTCGGGTGTTTCGAGACCCTGGATACTTTTAATTTCTACATGTTCAAAAGATGATTTTTAGTGTAAAAGCTTTGTCAAAAAGTAACAAAAAAGGCGGTGATTCTCGATGCACCACATCGGCAACAAAACCGGATTCGATGGGTGAAGGTCAACTGGAGAGGGTGTATCACAACAACTTTGTACGTCGAATTATAAACAAAAAAATGAATAAATGAATGATCGCTTCGAAGGGAAATTCGCAAAAAAAATTGGCTGTCTATTAGTGTTACCGACGTTGCTCTTAAGAATAATTGATAACACCAAAAATGGAAGTGTTGCCAAATAGAAACAGGTGCTTGATTGTTCCAATAAACACTAGACAAGTTGGTTGAGTATTCAATGTTTGTTTTTGCCTGAAAATTTTTAAATTACACAATGAAACATTTGATTTTAAAACTGGCTTGCTTCCAATTTGATTTGAAAAGTTTATTGTTTCAATTGGGCATTTGAAAAAAGGAAAATTTACTCAAGAACAGACAATTTCAAATAAAAAATTCTGAATTTATTAGAAATTTTAAAAATACGTTTTTTACTAATGATATTTTTAGTGAAAAAAAGGATATCAAACGATCACAATCTGATACGAAATCACTTTAATGACGACTTTTGAAGCCCACATTTTCCTGTATTCGGAGTTTCATGCTCAAAAATATATCCAGAATTGAAACTTTTCCCAAAGTGTTTTTTCCGAAACAAAAATTGTATTCAATTGTCTCTTCAATATGCCCGGGTTGTTTGTTTCGTTGTAGGACCACCCGTAACACGAAAATAAATCAAGTCGAATGTGCCATAAACGATCGGTGTTGCGTCGAACACAATGTTCGGCATTTTGACGGCTCCCGAGAGGATTCGCCAAATTCCGATGACATGCACTTTTTTGCAGTAACTCCTTTGCTTTTTTGATCAAACCGAGAGTTTCTTCTTCTTTTTCTCATTAGGCTTCTCTTTTTTGTTTGTTTTGCTTGAAATCAATCATTGAATTTAAGTACTTCAACATTCATTTCATTGATAAACAAAATCAATCGTACTTTAACAATTTTTGTAAAACATATGTATATTTGACAATTACTTAATAAATGTCGTCATTATTGAAAATTCATTATTTCAATTGTATTTCGGTCAAATTAAATACATATTTAATAAGAGGGGTCTTTTTGCTGACCGTCTTAATTTTTTTTAATTTTTGCATACAGATTCTTTAGATAATTTAAAATTGAATGAACTTGATCCCTACCTCTAATTATCGAGATATGGACCTTCAAAGTTTTAGCCCCTCCCCACGTTTGCATACAAATCTTAAATCTACTTTATAAGGAAAAAATTTTAATTTGAAGTAAAATACTTAAATTCTAAAAATTGTAGATTCCTTTTTTGAAGTATCTTAATTATTGTTCCACATAACCAACGTGAATATTGTAAAACGATTACACATTGAGAAGTAGAAATGTTTAAAAATCTAAAACTTTGCGAAATTCATTTTTTTTCGTTTGCTCCCTAATGGGGAGATTGTAATAATGAAGAGAGAATTGGTTCGGCTGCAAAAAAAAAACTAATCGAATTGCAATGGTTCATTTTGCCTCAATTGGACCCTCTTCTCCTTACTCCGATTTTTGTTTTTTTTTTTCGTTTTTATTCTTTCCCTCTTTAGTTGACCCCAATCTATAGAAATCAACCAAAATATTTTATGATATGTTTATAACTGAAATTCGAGCGCTGCGCAACCAACTTATCCGCAGCCGCCGATTATTTGACACATCTGGAGTGTTTCGGCTTTTGTCGTGTGATAAACGATACTTTCTTTGTTGGTCCATATCGACGAACACGTGCGAAGGCGCGCTCGAAATGATTTAGAGCCGCCGAAATATGGAGCAACGCGCGAATCGGACAAAGATGAACTCATTGAGTGAGTGAGTCGTCGTCGTCGTTGGGATAACATTTCACAGCTCAAATAGTGATATATGGCGGTTGTAAGGGTGTCGGAATGCGGCATTCTGCCTATTGTACAGAAACAAAAACAACATATGGTCGGATCGAGCTCACATGTGTACGCATGAACAATAGATGAATCAAATTGAGCACGTGACCCTTTCTCGATTACCGATTGACTTCAACTTTATTTTATCGAAATGTGGGCATTAATTTGAAAAATCTATTATGATAGACGAAGGTATTCTTTTGAAATTCGAAATCTGCGGACAATGATCGAGGATGGAGCAATTGCACTCAAATTTGAGAATTTAATCGAATCATATCCAATTAAAAATGAGAATTCATTAGAGTTCTCAAATGAATCAATATGATTACTTTTTGAACACAAAGAACCAGTGTTGAAAATTGGTGCGCAAAGGTAAATTTTTGATTCGATTCCGATCTGGCAATGTTCCAAATCGATTCGTCATGAAATCCGCCGCTTATTAGGGTTTATAGCGAACATGTGTTGATTGGTGAATATCCGAAAAAGGTGCAAATGACCAGCACCGACAGGTTTTGTATTGCGTTTTGCCATACGGGATTATCTCGCATTTCGGGTAGTCAGCCAGTTGGGACAACCAAGCGCTCGCCCGTTTCAAACACATTCACCAACTAATTTTTGCATCCCTTCATTAGTTGCACTTTCCGTCTTTCTTTTTTTTTTGCGGTTTTTGTAATGTCTGGTTGAATTGAAGAAACACAGAATACGCCAAATTTTTCAAAAGAAATCGCCGCGCGCCATAGGCGATTGCGCAACATTTTTGTGGGAATTCGCAATTTCTTTTCCTACTCATCGATACCTCGAAAATAGAAAGAAAAACCGAATCCACGGCTTGTGTGCACTAATAGATATCGTAGTCGTCCTACAGTACACCAAGAATTTTTCGCATTGGGCGGCCTATTTGTTTTTCTCAGGTGTGCTTATTAAGAAGCAATGAACTTAACGATTGATTTAAATAAATTTCCAAACAGATATTTTCGCGAGGATCACAAATCCCTTTCGGAATAGATTTCTTCCTTTGATGCTTAATAGCTTTATATCCAATTATTGGATATTCCATTATATGTATAGCATATTGTGCAACCGAATGTATTAAATCAAAATTGGCGAAATGTCGATATATTTCGATATTAGAATTTTTACTGTCGTTTTTTTTTACCCTGATTTCAAAACGAATTAGTTGTTGACAATTTTCGCGCAAACACACCCTCAAAAAAAAAAAGAGAGAAAAGCGGGCTGTGCATTTTTCACGATTAATACCCCTTCGTCCCCATCGTCTAAATCACCTTCACTCGTCCAGTCCACCATCATTATGGTATTTCGATTCTCGAGCCGAAACTAATCCTTTCGCACTTTTTTTTCCACCCCCAATTTTTTTTCATCGTGGGTGGCCTATTTGAGAAAACTCGTCTCGTTATTTTTCCATCTTCCTCGTCTTGTTCAACGTTCCTCCGAATCCCGTTTCAGATCGCTTTTTTCTGTTGCACATTCGACTGCGAATATGATATGAGTACTCATAACAAGTTGTGCGCGACACAAGCTCCGCCCACCGTTTGTCGGCGCGCGTGTTGATTCGTTTCAGTCTTTCTTTATACCGCAAATATTCGAGCACAGCACCACACAACTCCCGTCTTCTTATCCGTCCGAAATGGATAATCAACATGTAAGTCGTTTCGATATGTACATATGAACAACACATTTTATTCCAAAGGGTGGTCGGGTCGGGTCGGTATGTTGCGAAACATAAATCATCACCCAAATTTTTATAATAAACATATTGAGCGGCAAATCGTTTATATTTTTCGGTGTCAAATTTCGATATTAGTTGATGATAATCATCTCATATTTCTTGCACTTTCATTTTTTGCTTTCGAACTTTTGAGTTCGCAAAAAATTGGCGCCAAAAATTCAAATTTGTTCCCGTTGCTTTCTTTTTTCTCTTGGTTTTTCTTGTTTCTCGTCACAAACCGAATGGAAAAAAATGATTATAAAGCTTTCGATTGAATTCAAAATTTGTAGTCTATCCATGAGTGAGATTGAGTGGCTCGGCACATTTCCAGCCACCGTAGTTGCTCATTCACTGGCCCAATTTCATTCATATAAATGCTGTTATCATGAGATATTTTCAAGGTCAACAAAATCTTTCCAAGGCCAATTAAGGTGTTTCGTGTTCAAGATCTATTCATGTGTGTCTCATCATTTTCCGCTTATCATTTCGGCCTCTATTCGATATTGTCTGATATGGATACATGGTTAAATATTTGTTTAATTCGCTAATTATGTATGTCGTGATTGTGAGTAATTTGTGCAAAAATCGCGGTCTAATACTGTCTAGACACAATAATGTAACGCTGATAGAACGAGATAAAGCATTAAGGGCAAATATCGATAACCTTTCCGGAGGGTCTAATTCAAAATATTTTAGTATTTGGAATGGATTCCGAAACCAATTTATTCTTGCTATCCGGAATGTGTCAAATCGTTTTTCTCAAAATCTCAAATTTTCTAAAAAAAAAAGGTCCTCGTCCCTAAAACTGTTTAAGCGATTTTGTTGTTA